CCCTGTGGAGAGTTTTGTTCCAGACCAAGGAGGCAGTGTTAAAGGGGTCATTTATGTGAGCCCTGAGATTTCAGAAAGCTCTATTGTGCAAAATGTTAAAGGGGCTGAGGTGGAGTCTGCAAGGAGGTTTAGGAGCATTGGTGCAGCTGTTCTGCTCACCTTCAAAGAGGATTCTCTCCCTGACCGAGTCATGCTGGGATACATGAGCTATCCAGTCAAGCAGTACATTAGACCCCCTCTCCGCTGTTACAAGTGCCAACGTTTTGGCCATGTGGCGGCAGTATGTAGAGGGGCTGAAAGATGTGGTAAATGTGGAGGAAACCATGCGTTTACTGAGTGTGAGAGTGACCAGGCTAAGTGCTGCAACTGTGGGGGCAACCACACCTCTTCATCCAGAGAGTGTAGTTTCCATCAGCGAGCTGTAGTAGTAGAGAAAGTTAGAGCAGAGGGTAAATTGTCGTATGCTGAAGCACTTAAAAAGATTGGGGAGGGTAGTTCACCCAGAGGTGTAGTCCATGCAGCTCCTGCACATAAAGCAGCAAAAATTCTGTGTCTCAGCCGTTGCTAGCCTTCATGGTGGATATTCTCTGGGCTGCAAGGAATTGTGATAGAAGATCAGATTTGATTAAAGTAGTGACTGGGGCAGCAGAGAGATTTCTTGAAGGGGACAGAGTAGTGCCTGAGGATCTTTTTTACTTTATGAAACAGAGAATGGAAGGAGCTAAGGAGGGAAGGGATAGATCTCAAAGTGCACAAGCAAGTGCAGATGTCATAGTTGCTGAGGATGGAAGTATTGAGGTTAATGATGGAGGTTTTGACACCAGTTGAACAGTATGTTTCACGTCCTGCAGTGGAATGCTCGGAGTCTCTTGGCTAATGGTCAAGAGCTGAAGAGATTTTTATGTGATTTTATGCCACCTCCTGAGATTATTTGTATTCAAGAAACATGGTTAAAATCATGCTTAGATTTTGTAATTCCTGGATATAATAGTGTCAGGTTAGATAGGGGTGAGAGAGCTGGTGGAGGTTGTGCAACCTTTATTAAAAATGAGGTCCAGTTTCAAAAAGTGGATCTTAAGACCTCACTCGAGTGTGTAGCAGTCAGGGTGTGGGGTAAGGAGGGATGGATTACGGTAGTAAATATGTACAACCCGTGTATCCAGATTCAGCTGTCGGAGCTTGAGGACGTGAAAGCACAGATTGGGCGTCACATAGTTTGGGTGGGGGATTTTAATGGGCATAACCCTCTTTGGGGGAGTGGTAGTAGGGATGTAAATGGAGGTGTTATTGAAGATTTTATGGAGTCAAGTGGGTTAGTTTGTTTGAATGATGGAAGGCCTACACGTTTTAACATCCAGTCAGGAACAGGCTCAAGTATTGATTTAGCTCTTGTGTCCAGTGGTTTGGCCAGAGTGGGAGAGTGGGAGGTTATGGAGGATAATGTTGGAAGTGACCATTGGCCTATTCTCTTGAGGTTTGGGAAACCTTTATTGAAGAGGAAGGAGCATAATCCTGAGTATTTTAATTATGAGCGGGCGGATTGGGATAAATTTAGTAAGTTATGTGATGAACGAATAGATGGAGTAATTAAGGAAGGTACACTCAGTGAATGGAATGATAGTTTGTGTAAGATTATTATGGATAGTGCGTATGAGTGTATTCCTGTAAAGAAATGTCAAAAAGAGCGTGCTAAAGTACCATGGTGGAATAGAGACTGTGAAAATGCTGTGAGGGAGAGAAAAACTGCTTTTAGAGTGCTTAAAAAATTTCCAACACAAGAAAATGGAATAGTGTATAAAAGGTTAAGGGCTTCAGCCAGGAGAATAATCAAGTCGGCCAAAAGAGAGAGCTGGAGGAAGTATTGTAGTACACTGGGAATAGAGACTTCGCTGAAAGATATTTGGAGGGCTGTAAAACGTATGTCAGGAGTTAATCGGAGAATTGACATTCCAGCTTTAGAAGACAAAGGGTCGTCAGTATCAACAGAGTGGGGAAAGGCCAGGGTTCTCCAGGATAAGTTCAGAGCAGTTCACAGTGGTGAAAATCTACAATTAGAGGACAGGAGGAAGAGAGATGTCACGTTGGAGGCAAACAGGCACAAGCTCGAAGTTAGTGATGACAATTCCGATGTGTGTAATTTGTATTTTTCCTTGGAGGAGCTGGAAAGCGCAATTGGCAAAGGGAAAAGGTCTGCTCCTGGGAAAGATGGGATTAGTTATGAGCTACTTAAAAGATTGAGTGAGAATGTGTTGTATGAATTGTTGGCTCTTATTAATAATGTTTGGGAGCAGGGGAAGCTTCCGTCAGCGTGGAAGCAGGCAGTAGTCGTGCCTATCCTTAAACCTGGAAAGAAAGCGTCTGAGGCAGGCTCATATCGACCAATTGCTCTAACCTCTGTTTTGTGTAAGGTGATGGAAAGAATGGTTACTAACAGGCTTGTCTATAGACTCGAAAGGGAGGGCAAACTATCACCTGTGCAAAGTGGGTTTCGAAAAGGTCGGGGTACTATGGATTCTGTCCTCAGCCTGGATTGTGACATAAGGAAGGCTTTGGTCAATAAGCAAAGTTTGGTGGCTGTCTTCATAGACATTGAAAAAGCCTATGATATGTTATGGCGTGATGGCCTGGTGATTAAGCTCTATGACAGTGGTATTCATGGACGTATGCTCAACTGGATTCAAAACTTCCTTTGCAACAGAGTGATCCAAGTCAGGGTGGGGAAGGTCTTTTCTGAAGGGACAGAGATTGATAATGGTACACCACAAGGAAGTGTGATCAGTCCAATTTTATTCAATGTTATGGTAAATGATATTTTTAACTCTCTAGGTCCTTCATTTGGCACATCTCTCTTTGCAGATGATGGAGCTATTTGGAAAAGAGGAAGAAACGTAGGATATGTGGTAGGGCAAATGCAGGCAGCTATTAATAGAGTGGTGCAATGGGGGCAGGATTGGGGTTTTAGAATTTCTGTTGAGAAAAGTAAGTTTGTGGTTTTTGGAAATAAAAAAGTGGGCAGTCAGAAATTGACACTGTATGGGCAGCAAATTGAAAGGGTGAGGGATTTTAAATTTCTTGGAGTAATCCTTGATGAAAAGGGTCTGTGGAAAAAGCAAATTGAGAATGTTATAGTGAAATGTGAAAAGGTGATAAATGTGATGCGGGCGTTGTCAGGGAGTTGTTGGGGGGCTCTGAGAGAAACTCAAATGCTCATTTATCGGGCAATGGTGAGGTCAAGGTTGGACTATGGGTGTTTAGCATATGGTAGCGCAGCAATGTCGCATTTGAATAGACTGGATGTTGTTCAAGCGAAAGCACTAAGGGTTTCTTGCGGAGCCTGCAGGTCTTCTCCAATTCCTGCACTCTTAGTAGAGGTGGGGGAATTACCATTAAGGATAAGACGAGACAAACTAGCAATGCAGTACCTGGTTAAACTAAGAGCTTTTACTGGGGAATTTCCAGCGAAACAGTTGCTAGATCCATCATGGGAGTTAGGAGCAAAGAGGAACTATGAACCTTTTGTTGTTACTGTGAGCAAAGAAATTGAGAAGTTGAGATTTAGAGAGGTGGGGGTTGCCCCTCAGCTGTTATGGCCAGCCATTCCTCCTTGGACATTACCATCCCCTGATATTGACATGTCAGTGTTAGAAGGTAAAAGGGGAAAAAATGATCCTGAATATTGTAACCTTGTAGAACAGGCGTTGGGAGGGAGATGGGAAGGCCATTTGCAGGTTTATACAGATGGCTCAAAGGAAAAGGAATCTGGAAGGACGGGGTGCGCCTTTTTTGTGCCTCAATTAGATGTGGTTTTTAATAAGAGACTGCCAAATGAGATGTCTGTGTACACTGCAGAAATTAAAGCGATAATATGTGCTCTTCAGTGGGCAAAGGCCACTAAACAAGGTCAGATTGTAGTATGTTCAGACTCAGCGGCTGTGTTAAGCTCTATAGGTTTCGATAAAGGCAATGCCAGGCCCGATCTAGTGATCGAGTTGCTGACTGAAATTTCTGAGATTGAGAAAGCAAAGGGGTCTGTGGGTTTCCTCTGGGTCCCGGCTCATGTTGGTGTATGGGGCAATGAAGTTGCAGACAATGCGGCAAAACAGGCATTGAAAAAACCTTTAGAGTGTAGTTTAGTGCCAGGGGTGCTTGAGTGGAAAGCTAAGATTAAAATCCATAGTACAGCTGTTTGGCAAGCAATTTGGGATGGGGACAGCAGGGGGCGACACTTATACGCTATCAATCCCTCTGTTAAATGTAATCCTATAATGTGTGTTAAGGATAGAAGGAGTGAGGTCATCCTTACCAGGCTGAGATTAGGGCATTGTGGGCTAGCGTGGGACAGATTTATAGTGGGGAAACATCAAAGTGGGTTATGTGCACACTGTAACAAGAATGAGACTGTGAGTCATGTATTCATGGATTGTCCAGTATATTCTCATCAGCGAGCCGTGCTGAAGGAGGTTATGTCAAAGGTTTCTATGGACTGCAATCTGAAGTCTCTTCTGAGTCCAGTTAGAGAGCAGAATCTGGTTGTGAGAGCGGTCTTGGAATTTGTACGAGCAGCTGAGCTGCATATCCTGTTATAGAGGATAGGCTTGAGCCTATTCTTTATGGAAGTTGTTGTAGTGCACAAGATGACCGGGAAAGGCAGCAATGCGCGATGAGGCGCCAAGTCTGCCGGAAATTAAAAGAAGAAGAAGAAGATGTTCTAGAGAGAAAGGAGAGGCACTTTCCATGTTGGTTTTGGAGAGAGAACATGTATATTTGGGAGCACTGTAAATAAATCCACCTTTTTTTGGTACAAGATTTGGAGCCTTTGTTTTGTACTTCTGCCACTTTGACCACTCTTGCTACACTACCTCACAAATGGTGGCAGCGGTGGGATCCAGTTTTTGAAGATTGCTCCAAAGCGTAAGCCTTAAGTGAGTAGCCTTGCAGATGAAGAGGAAAATGGATATGGAGGAGCGGAGGCCCTCTGTGATGATCCACAAACTCCAAGTATGGCGGACATAGCAAACCTGCTCCAGGGCTTGGTGAGGAAGCAAACTGAGCACGATGCAAAATGGGAGCAGGAAAAGCTACAGCAGGAGAACCGGTGGCAGTCCATGGAGCGCCGGGTGGACCAGCTTCAGCAGGAGGTGAAAGCTGAGCGTCCAGATACTCCTCCAGTGGTGGTCGGTGCAGCACCTGCAGCTCAAGCAGAAAGCCCCAATGTTCCAGCTATGGTGAGGATTCCCAGTTGGAAAGGGCCTAAAATGCAGCCGTACCAGGAAGATGAGGATATTGAACACTATTTGAGTACTTTGAGAGGATCGCCACAGCTTGCCAGTGGCCACATGAAGACTGGGCTTTGCACCTGGCCCCACTTCTCAATGGAAAGGCACGAGCAGCGTATGTGGCTATGGATATTTCTGAAACTATGGACTATGTATTGGTGAAAAGAGCTGTTTTGGAGAAGTTCGAAATCAGTGCAGAGACCTACAGGATGCGGTTCCGATCTACGGTTGTTAAGGAAGATGAGACGCCCAAGGAGCTGCAGTGCCGGATGAAGGATCTCTATGAGAAGTGGATGACTCTGAGAGACAAGACCAAGGAGCAGATTGGTGATGCGATCGTGCTGGAGCAGTTCCTGAGAGTGCGTAACTCGGATCTACGAACCTGGATCAAGGAGCACAACCCTTCATCATTAAGGGAAGCTGCAGAGTTGGCGGAAGCGTTCTTGTCAGCGCGCCGCTCTTTCAAGAGTTCTTTATCGACTAGAGCCAGTGCTTCTCCTCAGTCACCTGTAGTGAGTAAACCTGTGGGTGGGGAGTGGGTTTAGACCAAAAGCCCCTATACCTCGGTATTCAGAGCCTAACCCTAGGTTTAGAGAGTTTAAGCACAAGGGACCTGTGGTATGTCACTCATGTGGTCAAGCAGGTCATGTTAGATCTGAGTGTCCAGGCCAGCATGTCAGTAAGACGTACATGTGTTTCGCCCCACAATCCAAGATTGTGCGAGATGTGTCTCCACTTAATGATAATGAAAGAACTGTCTGTGTTATCATTGATGACTAACCTCATGTGGCTCTGTTAGACTCTGGGAGTAGCCGCACCCTCATTAGAGAAGACTGTATGCCTAGAGATGTCACATTTAGTGGTACAGTGAAAGTTTGGTGTGTTCATGGGGACAATATGGACTACCCTATTGCTAATGTGATCATTCAAGTTGAGGGCCAGCAGTATTTTCTCTCAGTTGGGGTTATGTCCAAACTTCCCTACCAAGTTATATTGGGGTGGGACTTGCCCATTTTGCGTGAGTTGATCGCAAAGGACAAAGACAATCCTAGAACAGTGGAGAGCATGGCTGTTGTCACCAGGTCAGCTCAACAGCAGAGGGAGGTGTCTGCGGATAGTGACTGTTAATGGGAGTGTCCTTTTTCCAACTCTGATGTGCCAGGGATTGTGAGCTCCAAAAACCCAAAGAGTAAAAGCCAAAAGAGACAAGACAAACTGAAAGGCACTAAAATGGGTGCGACAGTTCCCCCACCAGTAACTGATGAGCTTATGGTCATTCCCAGTGATCTAACTAAACTACAGCGTGAGGACCCCACTTTAGCTCCTTTGTTTGCTAAATGTGTTTCTAATGACACGGAAGTCACAGACAGAGTGAGAGAAGTGTTTTTTGTAAAAGATGGTCAACTGATCAGACGTAGCAAGGTTGGGGATCAGATAGTAGTTCCAGCGAATTTCCGGCCTACTGTGCTAAAACTAGCTCATTCTGTACCCTGGGCAGGACATTTGGGACATTTTAAGACTTTTTCCAGAATGGTACCTCGTTTCTACTGGCCTAATCAGTTTTCGGACACTGTCAAGTATTGTAAATCCTATCCGCAATGTCAACTTATTGCCCCGAACAAAAGGTCGGATCGAGCACCTCTAATTTCAATGCCAATTATTGATGTTCCTTTTTCACGCATTGCTATGGACATTGTAGGGCCATTGGAGAAGAGTAGTTCAGGCCACAGATATATTCTGGTGATTTGTGACTATGCCACTAAATATCCTGAAGCTTTTCCCCTTCGAAAAATCAAGGCTCGTCAGATTGCTAACTGCTTGATTCAACTGTTTTCCAGAGTAGGAATCCCCAAAGAAATCCCTACAGACATGGGAACTACTAACTTTACTTATACTTTTCTCAGGGAAGTGTACAAACTCTTAGGGATTCGAGTGATCAAAACTACTCCCTATCATCCACAAACAGATGGTCTTGTGGAGCGATTCAACAAAACACTTAAGTCCATGTTGAGAAAGTTTGTGTCTGACTCAGGGGCTGATTGGGACCAATGGCTGCCCTTTGTGTTATTTGCATATAGGGAGGTGCCACAGGCCTCGACAGGTTTTTCCCCCTTTCAGTTGCTCTATGGACATGTGGTACGTGGACCTCTGGGTGTACTGAAAGACGCTTGGGAAGCCCCATAAGTCAATACATAAGTCGCAAGCTCTTTCCCAGAAAGACAAGGTATTCCACTGTTGAGAAGGAAGCCTTAGCAGTGAAGTGGGCCTTGGACACTTTGAAATATTATTTAATGGGGATCAATTTATCCTTGAGACGGACCATCGAGCTTTGCAGTGGATGAACAAAATGAAGGACAGTAATGCTAGGATTACCCGTTGGTATTTGTCTTTGCAACCTTTTTGTTTCAAGATCCGATACAGGCCTGGAAATAAGAATGTGGTTGCTGATTTCCTGTCTCGTTCATATGAGGTCTAATTTTTGTAAGGGAGGGGGAGTGTGACGAAGTGAGTCTTACAACTCCACTTGTCCCTTAGTACACCCTTGGTTCCACACACACACACAGGTTCTGTCAAATACACTCTCATATCCCGGGCCTTGTTTGTGTAAGTTTGTCAGTTCCACATACTCACTCATTCACATACATACATTCCATTTGTTAAAAACACCAAACACTATAGTAAGGTTTAAACATGTTTATTCATTTGTCTAGAGGGCACCTTTCTTCTAACTTACCTGCTCCATGCGGCAGCAGATTAAAGGGGAGGGCCGCAGAGCATTTCCTGGTTTTAACCCCTTTGGAGTGAGCCCTCTGTCTAGCTCCACCCATTTAAAGGAGGGGTTTGATAATTAACCTGGTTTAGGGGTTTAATGTTGATTTGCATCATTGTTGTTTAACTGTGTGCATGCTTTGTTGCTGTCTGTGCAGTAATTGCTGCTTGTTTATGTTTACAGATGCATATTACTGTATATAAAAGCATATTCCAGCTGAGTGGGAGGAGCCAGTCAATTTAGGCCATGTATATATGCCAGGTGTGCTGGCTGTTCTAGAGAGAAAGGAGAGGCACTTTCCATGTTGGTTTTGGAGAGAGAACATGTATATTTGGGAGCACTGTAAATAAATCCAACCTTTTTTGGTACAAGATTTGGAGCCTTGTTTTGTACTTCTGCCACTGTGGACCACTCTTGCTACACTACCTCACAGTGTTTCCTGCTATGTTCCACCCTCTTCCCCTCTAGACTTCAAACACCTAGTGGCTCGTAATGCGGCCTGAAACTTCAGCCGAGTAAATGTAAGCTGTTTCAACGCAAGGTGACTTACTTGGGACATGCCATCAGTGACGAGGGGGGCGTTACCACGGACCCGACAGGAGGCTCAGGAACTGTGGAAGACGTACGACGAGAGCATGGGCCACCCTAGCAACGAACGCACTAGTGCAGCCCTGAGGCAGCGCTGTTTTTGGCCAGGAATGGCACAAAATGTTAAGCAGTGGACAGAGTCCTGCCTCCAGTGCCTCCAAAATAAAGCAGGGCCACCAGGAAGAGCCCCCTTACACCCAATCCGCACGTCTTACCCCTTCGAAGTAGTTGGTGTAGACTATTTATCGTTGGGCCGGCCCGAGGATAGATACCAATACGTTCTGGTAATCACAGATTTATTTTCTAAATTTGCCATTGCAGTGCCCACCAAGGACCAGTCGGCAGAGACTACTGTACGAGCCTTATACAACAACCTCATTCTCATATTTGGCTGTCTGGAACGCATTCTGACAGACCGCGGGGCTGCCTTCAAGTCCTGCTGAATGAACCAATTATGTGAGTTGTATGGTTCCTGCAAGAGCCGGACGACCGCTCTGATTCAAGCCTACAACAGCATGGTACACAGCACTACAGGTATGACACTCCATTACCTTGTGTTCGGTAGACATCCCAGATTGCCAGTGGATTGGTTAACCGGTCTTGCGCCCGGTGTGGACCGCCAGACTTTGGGTGGCTGGGTGAAACAGCACCACAGCGCATTACAAAATGCTTACCAGGCTGCCAAAATCCAACAAGAACACCGTAGTGAACAGGACCAGGCCCGATATAGCAAAAAGGCTAGACTCGCACCTCTCCTACCTGGTGAGCGGGTTTTAGTGCAAGATTTTTGGCGGAGGGCACGTGGAAAAATGACGCCAAGGTGGTGTCCAGAACTATTTGTAGTGCTGAGCCAGCTAAGAGAGAACCACCCAGTCTATGTGGTGCGCCCGGAAGGTAGGGAGGCCCCAACCCGCACTGTACACCGTAATAACCTCTGTTTGTGTCCTGTTGATGTTGTACAGGAGGCGGGCCCTACCGCTGAACCAGAGCTCAGGGACCAGACAGACCAGCTGCCCCCTCCCACATGGTGACTCCCCACATTAACTGTAGGACAGGGTGCCCCCGAGGGTCCCAACGCTGACCCGGCTGAGCCCTTACCCCAAAATGCTCCACCTGACTCTCCAGAGCCTTTGTGCCCCAACCCTGCCCCTCAGCGTCCCAACAGGGGCATGCCCCCGGCCAGGTATTGCGAACAATAGCAGTTGTTCGGGACGTCCAACATTAAAGGTGGCGGAAATAATGTCACACCAAAATGAGATAGAGGGCCAACATTTGTTATGATTTTGTGTGTGATGTTTTATCTTTTTCTTAATGTTTGGCCTGAAACAAACTCGAGGGGCGGGATGGACTGGACTAATTGATTGCCCTCCCCATGTTGACAATTTGACAAGCCTGACAGCTGACTGTTTGATAAGCCAGGCAAAGAGGGAAGTGTGGGAATGAAAAGACAGAGACCAAAGTGTCCAGGAACCCGTGACATGAGCCCGAGACGTGAGCCCGAGACGCGAGACGAGCCTGAGGCTTGGACCCGGAGGAATCCTCAGCCATAATACGCCTTACAAGAGCTAAGTGAAGGGACGTATCCCACTGCGCTCTCTCCCCTTAAGTGCTCTCTCTTTTTCCTCTCTCCACCAGTTGCACGAGGAAGAGCAGGGGTGGAGTGGACCACTGGCGCCGACGCTGCGGGACCTGGACGCGACTTAATTAGTATTTTTAATATTTTTCTTATAGAAGGATTCTTAACGGGACTAAGTTGGTTCTATTGTTTTAAATCAATATTAGTTTTAACCCCCGGGCTTTTAGTTTCCTTTACACACTATTTTATGTCCACATTTTACCTTTGTAATAAACCCCCTTGTTTTATTTTTAACGTGCTTCTGTCTGGTATTCATTGACAAACAACTTGGTACAAAAAGTACACCTAACTTACATTTACACATGCAATGTCTAACAAGCGCCAAATTTGAATCGGTTGTTCAACTCTAGGGTGTAGGTCAGCTAAATGTGAAAAACTTAAATTGCAGCATTGGCCCCCCCATACAGAGTGAGCCAACATTTTCCATAGGAATCAAATATATGTATTTTTCCAAATTTTGTACAAGATGCTATTTTGGAGTACCAGTCCAAAAAGGCAATTAGATCCATTACTTATTTCAATGAGCCGGCAGATCACACATACAGTGGCTGCCTGAAATGTCCTAATTTCAGCTGACGGAGTGCTTGCACTTTCCCATCTAATACTTTTGAATATGCCACTTCGAGTTCATGTATAGACACCCCCCCATTTCACTTGAATTGGCCCAATCATACAGCCAGTTTTACATGCATGTAACTCTATGGACAGATCATTCATTTACAGGGAGAATAAAACAGACGAACAGAATCCCTCCCTGCCGGACACCATTACTGACAGAGAATGGATCTGTCATGGATCTATCCCATTTCACTTACATTACCTGATGGGCATACATGTACCAGTATGTTAAAACTCTCACAATATAACGAGGCACCACTCTCTCGTTCAACTTTGAGAATCATTTCCAGTGATTCACACGGTCAAATGCTTTAGATGCATTGCTAAAGCACAGAAGAACAGAAGATTCATTTTTACTTTAATATTTTTTTGTATTGTTTTGTTGAAAGCAAATATGCAAAAATCAATACCATAATGAGATTAACCTCATTTGCTCGTCCCACAGTGGGGAAATGTAAGTGTAGCACCACAAGTCACAGAACATACACATTTACATTTAGTGGTGATGTCTCAGTAAAATTTATAACATGACGCAGGTTGACCACAGGGAGGGGTTGTGTGCTCTTGGAAAGCCTCTTCCACTGACGTCCGCATCATGTGATAGGTTAAAAACAGTTGTGTTTTTACTTATGCGTGAAACTGAAAGGTTAAACCCACTGTTTTTAATGTACTGTGATTTTAATTCCTTGTACAATTTTAATGTTGCTTTTATTAAGCACTTTGAGTTGCTTTGTGTGTGAACTGTGATGTACAATAAACGTACCATGCCAAGCTTATTCTCTATTTTATAAAATACATCAGTTCTATATATTATTATACATTTTATTAAACAATGGCAAAATTCATGTAAAAAACAAAACAAAGTCACTGTGATTGCAATTCCACACAAAAATATACAAGTTGATAAAAGTTATTTTGCTATGCTCAAAGTTAATGTATTACAATATTAATGTAATATTAATATTGATTTTAATGTAGCACATAATGTAACAAATATTTAAAAAATGGATTACAATATACTGTAATTGAAATTGAATCCAACATAAGTTATTTAAGTGATTTTCATACAAATAATATAATGCAAAGTTAGAGTTATAGAGAGGCACAACAGAACCGTAGCAGCAGTTCATGATTGTTGATAAAGAGCTGCTTTAGTCCACCTCCTCCACGGTGGGGCCCTGTGTGCTGCCCTGGGCCTCCTGTCTGCAGCTGCTTGCAGGAGCTGCTCCCTGGTACAGTTTACTGATGATGGGGTTGCACACTTTCTCCAGCTCTTTCTGCTTGTGCTGGTACTCCTCCACCTCAGCCAGCTGGTTGTTGTCCAGCCAGGTCATGACCTCCTCACACTTGTCCAGAAGCTTCTTTCTGTCGTCCTGGTTCAGTTTGCCGCTCACGGCCTCGTCCTGCAGACTGTTCTTCACAGTGAACACAAAGGCCTCCAGAGCGTTCTTGGCACCGACCCTGTTCCTCTGGGCTTCATCCTCAGCTTTGAACTTGTCAGCGTCCTGCACCATCTTCTCGATCTCCTCTTTGCTCAGCCGGCCTTTGTCGTTGGTGATGGTGATCTTGTTCTCTTTGCCGGTGCTTTTGTCCACTGCCGACACGTTCAGGATGCCATTGGCGTCAACGTCGAAGGTGACCTCGATTTGAGGGACCCCTCTGGGGGCAGGGGGGATCCCTGCCAGCTCAAAGCGGCCCAACAGGTTGTTGTCCTTGGTCATGGCGCGCTCTCCTTCGTAGACCTGGATGAGGACCCCGGGCTGGTTGTCGGAGTAGGTGCTGAAGGTCTGCGTCTGCTTGGTGGGGATGGTGGTGTTGCGTTTGATCAGTGCCGTCATGACCCCTCCGGCCGTCTCGAGGCCCAGGGACAGAGGAGCCACGTCCAGTAGCAGCAGGTCCTGGACCTTCCCGGAGGTGTCCCCAGAGAGAATGGCCGCCTGGACAGCAGCCCCATATGCCACCGCCTCATCAGGGTTGATGCTCTTGTTCAGCTCGCGGCCGTTGAAGAAGTCCTGCAGGAGTTTCTGGACTTTAGGGATCCTGGTGGAGCCGCCGACCAGGACCACCTCATGAATCTGTCCTTTGTCCATCTTGGCGTCTCTCAGGGCCTTCTCCACAGGCTCCAGTGTTCCTCTGAACAGGTCTGAGCACAGCTCCTCAAAACGTGCTCTGGTGATGGAGGTGTAGAAGTCTTGTCCCTCAAACAGAGAGTCGATCTCGATGCTGGCCTGGGAGCTGGAGGACAGGGTCCTCTTGGCCCTCTCACATGCTGTGCACAGCCTCCTCAGGGCTCTCTTGTTCTGGCTAATGTCCTTCTTGTGTTTCCGCTTGAACTCTTCTACAAAGTGATTGACCATACGGTTGTCAAAGTCCTCTCCTCCCAGGTGGGTGTCTCCAGCTGTGGCCTTCACCTCAAAGATGCCGTCTTCGATGGTTAGGATCGACACGTCGAAGGTGCCTCCCCCCAGGTCAAAGATGAGGATGTTGCGTTCTCCGGAACGGCCTTTGTCCAAACCATATGCAATAGCAGCGGCCGTGGGCTCGTTGATGATTCTCAGGACGTTGAGGCCAGCGATCACTCCTGCGTCTTTAGTGGCTTGTCTCTGGGAGTCATTGAAATAGGCCGGGACTGTGATGACTGCGTTGGACACTGTGTGGCCCAGGTAGGCCTCTGCCACTTCCTTCATCTTCACCAGAACCATGGAGGAGATCTCCTCTGGGCTGAAGGTCTTGTCTTCACCTTTGTACTCCACTCTGATCTTTGGTTTTCCTCCGTCACTCACCACATTGAAGGGCCAGTGCTCCATGTCGGCCTGCACTGTGGGGTCGTCAAACCTGCGTCCGATCAGCCTCTTGGCATCAAACACTGTGTTGTTGGGGTTCAGAGCCACCTGGTTCTTGGCCGCATCTCCAATGAGGCGCTCTGTGTCCGTGAAGGCCACGTAACTGGGGGTGGTCCTGTTGCCCTGGTCATTGGCGATGATTTCCACTTTTCCATGTTGAAAGACCCCCACACAGGAGTATGTGGTGCCCAGGTCAATACCCACAGCTACTTTGTTTGCAGACATCGTTCTTATATTTATAGAAAACTGAAAGAAACAAATAAAATATTAAATCATCATTATCAAAATATTAGTCACTTTTCTTGATAATAGCTATTTCAAACATTGTAACTACTAAAATAAAATTAAAGTGGACAGTTTTCAAGGTTTGATTCACTCTTATCTTTTGAATGTGTCGCCAAACATTAGGTAAACATGCACAACATATGATTATTACAGATCAAAACCATGTACAATCATGTTACAGATCAACAATCATGTAAATCTTTGGATTATCAGCTTGTGGAACACAAATATCAAACAAATAAGCAGAATGAGCATCACACTCAATTTGCAAGAAAAGACACTGGCAACAAAGGTTTAGATTCTAATGGATACTATCAATCCATAAAGAGTAAAGCCATATTGCTATTGATATACTACACAATATCTAACTATGTAGTTGCTTTAAGACGCGGATGCAGCGCGGTCACATACCTGCTCAGATAAATCTCAGGGAGAGCTCTGTCAGAGGGGAGAGAATGGCCCGCTCTTTAGTTCTCTTCTTTGCTCCTCTTCTTTAGATCAGATCTTCTAGTCGTTGCACAAACTAAGCTCTCGTTGTTATTTATACTTTCTCCGCGAGTTCTGGTCATTTCTAGGGACACCCGCCTCCTCTATGATTCTGGCCAATCACAGAGCAGAGCGACAAGCCGTGTGATGACGTAAGAGCTTCTCGGGCTTTCTCGACTCTGCAGGAGCAGAAACCTCCAGAAGACACGAGAAAGCGAACAGAGCGCTCCTGAGGTCACAGAGAAGCAGTATGCGACCTGTATAAACATTACACAAGTTTACAGACTATTACAGAAGCTCATATTATACTATCAATGTGTGTACAATGTTTGTAGTAAAGACGTAGTTGCTATGTGTTGTTTCTATCGGTCAAGGCGGCTACCCTAACAATATTTCGCATCAGATTTAACTTAACTGTATTTTGTATTTGCCTTTGCATCTGTCAGCTGTCGTTTCATCTTCAATTCGCTTGTCAATAAATCATTGATTTTAAGTGACTTAATAAGCAAGTAAGTAAGTAGGTAATCCATATTTATATAGTGCATTTTACAGACTTCACACAGCGGTGTGGACAAAGGCCCTCCAGCACTAAAGGTGCCTCAGTCTTCACTGAAGAGCTCCTCAAGCTCCTACAGGGTCGTGAGTTTTAATTTAAAATCAACATGTCGCCTGTTTGGGTCAAATTATGAATGGTATCCATATAGATCTATAATAATATCTGATAGCATCTCATTACATTATAACATAAATGTACATTTCATTGTATTTAAATCTTTAATGGTGAATAAAACTACTTTTACCTCTCCAACAATTAATGGAATTTTTTTAGGGGGCAAGAAATACGTTCAGAAAGGTTTTATTATTGTAGTATTTGTTGATTCTCTGATCTGTGTTGTTGAATCGACAACTTTTCAAATTCCATCGCAATAACTATTGCTGTTATTAATTATATATATTTTTGAGCATTCTTTGTTTTGCTGCACGTAAAACGTATTCTCGTCACCCCGATCTCTCATGACGTGAGCTTTTCCACTTTCCGTGTTCAGCCCCTTTTGGGTTTGGCCGGTGTTACTCAGACACACAGCACTTGGATCAGAGTTAACGCAGGTTTAAGTAAGTTTAGACTAAGTAATATAAGTGCTATAAGAAAAAAAAGAAAAAAAAAAAGTTTGTTACTGTCTTTTTGCCGGATCACTGATCGATCCATTAAAAAAACAAGAATAAAAAAGAAAAAAAAGAGAAACAAATACTTAGATACTGTCTTTTTTACTGGATCTCTGATCGATCCTTAAAAAAGAAGAAAAAATTTAACAAAAAACAAAGAAAAATAGTTTTTGTTGTTGTTGTCTTTAACTGGATTGCTGATCGATCCATTAAAAAAACAGGAAAAAAAAAAGAAAGGAAAAAATAGTTTGTTACTGTTTTTTGCCTCTTGTCTACAGGTTGTTATTATTATAGATCCATGCTACAGGTATGGGCGGTGAGCATATAGAACAGTTGTGCGCATGTCCAAAGAAAATAAATTACATTAGACCAAGATGGCGTCTTCCATGGGTGGGATGTTTCCTGGCCAGCAGTCCTCTGGCCAGATCCCCGTGGGTGGTGCGGGTGGACCGGGTCAGCCAGGCTTTCCTGGTCCCGGTGGTTTTCCTCCGAGGGCCCCCGAGAACAACACCCTGGTTGACGAGCTGGAGGCTTCGTTTGAGGTACTGCTATACTTGTGCTAATATGTTAGCATCGGCTTGTTAAAAACCGAACAACACACTATTTGATTGCTTTTCCAATGTATTAGCTTTGGATGTTATCAATATGAGAGTATCGTAGTAGTGCGTTGATTAAAGTGATATTTGTTTTATAGGCTTGCTTTGCATCCCTTGTGAGTCAAGATTTTGTGAATGGAACTGACCAGGAGGAGATTCGGACGGGTCTGTACTGCATGAATATTGGCGTTCGCTCAAAACCGTGGCTCATTTGCACTTCTTACTTTACTACAGGTGTGGATCAGTGTATCCAGAAGTTTTTGGATGTGGCTCGGCAAACTGAGTGTTTCTTCTTGCAGAAACGACTTCAATTATCTGTTCAGAAACCTGAGCAGGTGCTGAAGGAGGTGGGTTCTGAAACTACACGGAAGTAGTTCAAAGTACTGCAAAGTATTATCATAACGTAATAGAAACATTTGAATTTTCAAAGAAACATTTACAAATTCATTCTCAGCCAAAGGAACAGCAAATACCAGCTTAGATTATGAATGAGCAAGAGTGTAGTTAGGTTGAATGAGTATAGTAATTGTGCTGTTATCTCTTCAGGATGTGTCCGAGTTGCGGAATGAGCTTCAGAGAAAAGAGATGCTGGTCCAAAAGCATTTGGCCAAACTGCACCACTGGCAACAGGTCCTTGATGATGTCAGTGGACAGCAGCGCAAGCCCACAGATCTACCTCCACCAGGACCACTAGCGTTTCTCGAGCAAGCTTCTGCCAGTCTGCCCCCTGCCCCGTTAAAGCCCAACTAACTCCTAAGCCTGTTTCCATCAGTTCCAGACTGATGGACCCTAGAGTCTTTTGAAAGACATGTATGGACTATCTACATACACCTTTTTCTGATCAAACTGTTCTCATTTTACATCATGCAGCAGTAGTTTATAGCCAGTTTCAATTGTTTTATGTTCTATTTAAACATTTTGTAAATATTTTTTATACAATAATTAAATGATAAAAAAATACTTCAATGTATAACACTGTGCAATAATTCATGAGACGTAAAGTATGTTACTGTATATTGTATACAATGAGCAAGTGTTTGTGGTTACTTCTTCAAAGTGCAGTTAAAGCTGAACTGTCCAAAGGGCACTTATTAAGCAAATATTAATGATAAAGTGCCTCCCAATGGGTGCTTTGCAGAAAATAGTACTAAGTAATAATTTTAATTGTTCTGCATAAGTGTGTCTTAAGCTACCCTTTTAAGTGAGCTCTATGGAAACCTGCATTGCCAAAACATTTATACCTTTGAAGAAAATGCTAACAAAATAACCAAAACTGCAAAGGAGCATTCCTTACAAATTATCCAAAACTATTCTGATGTTGCAAATATATAGTATATGCAAATATGAAATGGATCAAAAATTGAACTTCTTCCTGAAATAACAGTATTGGTTACTGAAAGTGAATAACAACCGATAGAGATCCTGGATGTATTAAAATCAATGAATCCATGATTATTTTGCTACAGATCCATGGTTACCGTGGTAACAGGAAGTTGGATCCCTTGGTGTGTAACGCGAAAATACTTCCCCCGCTGCAGTTGTCAGCAGCATGGATCCTGCATCTATTGGGTATTGGTAATGGTGCTCTGGTGGTTTCCATGGATCTGTGGTTGTTTATCCCGTTAACCGTGAGAGCTGTGACTACAGAAGACTGACTGGAGGCAGCGGACGATGATAGATTGAGAGGAAACCGGAGACATGGACGGGCATGGTCATGGTGGTGTACCGGTCTGTCCAGAGGGAGCTTCAGTCCAGCTCAAGGTTAGCTTCGACTGGAAATGTAGCATCAGGATGTCAGTGTCTTTCAATGACCATCTTTTGAGATTTGAGAGCGTTTTAATCTTCATAAAAAGCTAGCTTTGGGGTAATACGTAGCCGTGCGTTATAACCTTAAAGTTTCCCGTGTACGAACCCCACGAGCAACATATTGTGTAGTCCTCCATGAAGTTTCTAAGTTTTTATTACACTGTTTTAAACTATTGTCAAACAAAAACCTCAGACACAGGGAGAACATGCAAACTGCACTCAGAAAAGCTCTATGTGGGTTGTCCGTTATGTCTGTTACTCGTGTATCCCCAACCACTAAAGTGGGTGTGCCCCAGTAAAACCAAAAGAATAAATCAAAGGGTAAAAATCCTGCAGGTGCTCTATCTGTCTGTTATTAATATATATTTTGGTATAGCACAGTGAAGTGACTTTTTCAGAAGTTGTACCAACACTGTCTGTCTGTGTTGGACAACAGTAATTTCGAATCTTTTAGCAGTGTGATAGTACGAGTATAACTGTATGTCTCCACACAGGGTGCCTGTGGTGAGGAGGATCCGGTGGGCATCTTGAACCTCTCGGATGAGATCCTTCTGTGTATACTTTACCATCTTCCACTTTGTGACCTGCTGCTTAATGTTGCCAATGTTTGCCACAAGCTACGAACACTCTGCTATGACAAGACCCTGCTCACTGAAGTCTGCTTCTCTGACCATTATTTGGTACTTTTCAAATTCATCACTTGTTCACTGCCTGTTAACATGGCCAACTTTATTTACTATTAATTGAACAGCATTTTGGTGGCTTAATGTTTTTTGATTATAGTTGAACAGGCTTTACAAGATTTGACTGTTTATGATTTAGGACCAGTCAATAAGTGGCTCTCTGTCTGCTGTAACTGCTTTTTTTTCCCTTATTTTTTATTTCTCCTACTAGGCCAATGACATGATGGTGGCTCGGACCATTGACAAGCTATCTTATTACGTGCAGTCTCTGAGCCTGAATGGTTGTTACTGGCTGTCGGGCTCCACTCTAAAGCACCTATCCCGCTGCAGAGAGCTGACCCAGCTAGATGTGACTGGGTGCAGACTGACCACCTTGCGGCTGTCTCACCTCCTCTCCTCTCTGTCTCTGCTGCGCTGCCTGGCCTTCGATGTCACCTCCAGCTTCAGCTCATCCCAACTCAGCTCCGAGGCCGTGGACACGCTCAGCAGACTTGCGGAGCTCAGACAATCTCTGCTCACTCCCAGCTACGGGGTAGTTCCATACTGCGCCAAACTACGAAAGTATGTCACAAAGGACTCAAACGATTAATTGTTAATTGCAATAATCTATTACCATAATTTTCTTCTTTAGTTGGTTAATTTATATATCTGTTTGATAGATAGATAGATACTTTATTGATCCCCCATAGGAGAAATTCAGGTGTCCAGTAGCAGCAAAAATATAACAGAACTCATCTTGGCACTTAAGCCAGGTCATCTTTATAGTAAACTCAAGATGAAGATAATTGTATACTTGGGGGCATCTTCCACTCCCAAATAACAGTGAGACCGCTGATGAGGTTCCTGAATATTACACACATCAGTCAGTGGATACGTATCTAACTCTTGGAGCCGATAAAAACCCAATGTCATTCTTGATGTGTGGCCCTTGGAGTTGGCACTGGTTACTATCAAAAAATAGCGGAAATAATTAAAACACTTGTTTTTTGTGACTCAGTTTTAATCAGGGCATGAAATTCAAGTCTTTTTTTTTTTTTTTACACATAAGGAAACACAATGACAAACCTTATATTGGATATGTATTACATTTGGAGCACATGACTGGCCCATTCTGGTTTCCCCTCCACTGAACTTGTTGTTTTCCTGATCCGGACCAGAATGGCCATGTGAAGCAACTGAATGTTACTCAACTTAAACTCTCCAGCGACAGAAAAATCAGGGGTTTTCTCTTGGTTTGCACTAAACCAAAACAAAACCGGCCCCTTCCAACAGGCCTCAGACACGGGGAGAAAATGCAAACTGCACTCTGAAAAGCTTTATGTGGGTTTCCTGCAGGTGCTGGTGTTTGCCCTACCACCAGCACCAAGTATGTGCAGTAGCCCCAGTAAAATCAAAAGAATAATTCAAAGGATAAAAATCCTAAACATGCTCTATTTGTGTGTTATTAATTGATCTTTTCGTATAGTGCAGTGAGGTGACTCAGTGTTGTGCCAACACTGAGGAATTTCTGTGTGTGCACGGTTTGCAGACTGATGCTCCAGTTTGACATCTCGGACGTCACCAGAGAGGGCCTGGGTGTGTCCTGTCAGCTCATGGTGGGCCAGAGCAGTGTGCCACATTACCAGCAGCTTCAAGAGTTCACTGCTCGACTGGCACCAGGAGAGGTGAGAGAACAACTGTTGTCTTTAAATGGAATGAATCTATGAAAGTGCAGGTTATATCCAAATCTGATGGCATGTTTCTTATAAAAAAAAGGCATATGGCAGGGATGACTTGAAATCCAATCTCTATACAAAGCCTCATCAGTTTCTCTCTATATTTTGTATGACATTTTCAATAATAAATATGGTGCCCTATCACTTGTATGGTGGAGCTCAAAAGTGGGCTGCAATGTTGGATTCCTGAAGTAATTTTTTTTCAATTATCACCATAATGTCGGAATTAGTATTACGTCAATCTCTCAGAATCAAGTTTTAGCTCTAGCATAAAGATGTACAAATAAATGTTACATAGCACAAATACAGTAAAGTTATGTTTACGTTTATGGAGTGACAAGGGCCAATCAGCTTCCAGTAGCTCTCTCTCTCTTTACCCCCTTCCAAGTGTATTCCCCAATAATGAATCATTTGACAAGAGACAATGTTTATCTAGCGCATGGGTCTCCAATCTTTTTCCCCCCGGAGAGAATGAATGAATCGAATCAATTTATTGCCATTTGCAGAAAAAAAACTACATTGGAATACAAGCAGGAGACATCGGGGGCACCTACACCACAAAGCACACACACAGGCAGAAAGAATAAAAATAGCGAGGCAAGACACAGTGAGGCAACATATAAAACTCTTAAAAGCATTTTTAAGAAGCTACGAAGGAGCTACAAAGAGAAGCTGATCTCGAGGCGCTCTGTTCAGTCTTATAACCGCCTGAGGGAAGAAGCTATTCGCATGGCGGGTGGTCCTGCACCGCAGGGACCGGAATCTTCGCCCCGAGGGAAGAGGCTGGAACAAGGCCGCTCCAGGATGGCCAGAGGAGTCATTTACAATCCTCAGCGCACGATTTAAGAGTCTGCTCTCATAAAGAGCCTCCAGAACGGGAATCTCACAGTTCACATTCCCCCGAGCAGAACGAACCACTTTGTTCAGACTGAGCTCTCTTTTCTTTGGCTGTGATGCTGCCGAACCACACGGTGATTGCACCTGCTTGTTGAGCCACTTTTTCAAGACTAGAATGGATACTTTTTTAATAGTCCTGGGGGGAAAAAGCCACATATAATTGTAAGAATAATATAATTTGAAATATTCAGTATCATATATTGTTTGATAGTTAATTTCTAAATCCTTTATGGAGCTACATAGAAGATAATGGCGAAATGCTGGATGGAGACCCTTGATTTAGAGCAACAGATGCCTTGGCTATAGGCTAATATAGGTTACAATGCTTATATGTTGTTTCAAAGTTGAATAATTTTGCTTCTAGAACTGATTCAATAAAATGAGTGGATAATGCTTGCTTTTTTAACAGACCACTGATCTAAATGCTGTGTTCATCAATTACTGTCTTCCAGGTAAACCAGACTCTACTGCTACTGTACCTGGCCGTCTTCAGCGTCCACATTCCCGAGCATCTGCGTATCTTCCTGGTGTCCATCCCGGGCCCAAGTCCTGTCCACTGGCCTTCTGCCCGGACTCTGGCTCAGAGCTTGGGACAGAGAGGCGACCTGGAGGCCTTGCAGTTCCCTCGGACATGGCTGGACACCCCCTCGCTGAAGCTGGCCTTGGGGGGAAACAGCCCTCGCCATCTGAGCTTCAGCCGTTGCCCCGCCTTGTGGCCGCAGGTGTTCCAATCACTCTTGGAGGGAGGGGTGAAAGATTCGACCCAGCTTACCAGCCTAAACCTTAGCGGGATTAACCACGTTCTGTACTCTGACTGCCGAAACATTGACGTTCAGCTACTAGCCTCCACCATGAGTCGACTTGTAATCGGCTGCTCAAATATAAAGCACTTAAACTTGATGCACACTCACTATCACCACGACAAGGCGCCCAGTTTGAACGCCGAAGCGCATTTGTGCTCCAGTTTGGCTAGTCTGAGAGGCCTGAGCTCGCTTACTGTGCCCGCGTGTGCTCTGTCAGATGGAGTGAACTCGAATAACTCAAACACCTCTTGTCCGTCTTCGCTTTTACTTGGCTTGAAAAAATCTGTGCGCGTAGGCCTTCAGAATTACAGACCGGACTCTGGACAAGAGTCATCCGTGGACAGTACTTCAGGAGTGGCCCAGCTGGCATCAGGGTGTTTGACTTTAGAGACTTTGGAGGTTATCGGTCCAGGTTTTGTGTCTGCACTCCCCAGACTGGAGCCGTGCACCCGCAGCAGCGTAGAGCCCCGGGGTATGTGCGCCTGGGCCAGAGGAGTGGGAGATGCACACATAGCGGCTCTGGAGGGCTTGAAAAGATTGAAATGCCTGACTTTGGCTGGGCTGCCCGGGATTCTGAAGGGGACAGGGCTGGTGCACATGGCTAAACATTGTAAGACCTTGAAAGTGTTGTCGCTGGCCAACATCGGAGTGGTAAAGGCTATGAACTATGCCCCAGCTCTACTGGAGACGCTTCAACATTGCACACAGCTCCAGGAACTCCGGTGAGATTACACAATTAATTACTCAGTTGTCTGAAAGCCAACAAATTGAGAAGGCCTGCTTTAAGTAAATTAAAAGGCAATATAATATGCAAAATCTATTGTTTTTTAGATCCGTTCATACTAATATCAGTCACTTCTGGCACAAACATGTAACACCTGTCTCAGTCCTGTAATGATTAGATGTCATTCTAACCATTTCATCATGCTCTGAACAGTACTTCACCTTTTAAATCAAGTGAAATGACATTATTTGCAATCACAAAACAAAATTCAACCCCTCCTTCTGATGGTAGCATAGGTAGTTACAGGCAGAAATACTTTGTTTTCTTGCCATATATTTTATGGTTAATATATTCACATTCTAAAACATGACATGACAAAAGTATTAAGTATTGTAAAAATTTGAATGGCCAAAAATAGTGCATATTTCTTATTTTAATCGAGTCACCAGTGAAGGTAAATGAAAGAAAAACTGTTCCAAGCTTATGAAATGTTGAAATATATTGTGATATAGTTGTGATGACTTTTCATCATAGGTTGGAGCAGCCATACTTGAACGCCAACAGTGCTTTTTTCGAGGCCTTGTCGTGCTGCTCTCGTCTGCGGCGCCTCTGCCTCATCTCTCGCAGTGGGACTTTCGAGCCCTCGGCCGCAGAGAGCTTCATGGAGCGTTGCCGGCTGGTGGTCATGTGTCATCTGTTCATGGGAGGGACCCTGGTGGCCTGCCGGACTCTGCAGAAAACACTCATAGAGAGGTTTGACTTTCTATGAGACTCTTTCATTATAAGAAGTGCTTCTTTCTCTTGTGTATCAAAGGGATTCATGTGTGGCTTTGTGTGGTCAGGTTCTCAGCTGAGCGTCCAGCCCTGAGCGTGGTCATCTACCCGTTACACCATGAGGATCTACCGTCAGTCATTAGGGACATCCCACTCACGCTGCTGGACACAGTGACCTTGTTTCAGAGCCACGTTGCTCAGCCGCCACATTTATCACCGTACTAGCTTCGCAAAGAATTCTGTATGTGATTGGTGCTCAACTATAAGGTGCTACAAAGAATAAAGTTTCAATACAATCAATACATCTTGGAAATCTAGTTCACTTAATAAGAAATCTTTTTATACTTTTTACCCAAAGTAAAATACTCTCTTTCACATTGTGATTCAAAGTGACAGTATTCCACAGTGAATAATCATCTGTGTACTTCCTTGAAATTGGAAAGTTTTCATACCAATAAAAACAAATACTAAATTGTTTTGATGCTAAAGCTACATACTGTCTTTGTTGCAGAGAAAGCCTGCCTTGGAGATAATTTCACATATAGTAGGCCCACATACAGTACTTCTGTCTTTCTTTGCCGTACTCACTTAACAAAATACATAAAGAAGATAAAGACAAATATATATACATATATTATTTTATTTTTTTCAAATGTACAGGTCTAGATAAAATCTGTAGTTTGCAAAATATACTTACATAATCAAGCAACACAGAAAATCTAAAAGGAAAGAAATGGTAACATCAAGATGAATGATTCCTTCTGTCACGTGTATCCTGGGATTATTACTCACCTGTTACAGTGTCTAACTTACTATATGATTGTACCGCCCTAATACACAACAACAGACGTCTTGGAGGATTCTACAAAATTGTTATTTTACCAACAACAGATTAGAGAACACATGGGATGCAATAACAAACACAAAGGACCAGAATAAACTGTTAGATAAATTCAAGCAATATATATATATATATATATATATATATATATATATATATATATATTTATTATTAATATAATACACCCACAATACAATACAATTTATTCTTGTATAGCCCTAAATCACAACAGAAGTCATCTCAGAACCATTGAAATCACCAACACAGATCAGAGAATCAGCAGTTAAAACACAAAAAGATTATTTATTGGGCGGCACGGTGGCTGAGTGGATAGCACTCTCGCCTCTCAGCAAGAAGGTCCTGGGTTCGAATCCCGGTCGGACCAGGGCCTTTCTCAGTGGAGTTTGCATGTTCTCCCCGTGTCTGCGTAGGTCTCCGGGTACTCCGGTTTCCCCTACCACTAAAAATATGTCCAATAGTTCTGGCATGCGCCTCCTGTACTGGCCCCCCTCCCATCTGTGTGGAGTGAGAGACAAATGCCCAAAATTAACAATTGTAAACCGCTTTGAGACTCAGATCTGCAGTGAAAAGGCGGTATATAAATAAAAACTTACTTACTTACTTACTATTATAGAACACATGTTGATAAATGTCCATACATGTTGTAGAATGTAACAATGAATACATTTTAGTGGTTTGATCTTATTATCATCATCCATGGGTCTACGGGTTTGACCGCCAGGTGGCAATGGCGACACAGCTCTTGCAATCTAACTCTCTTATCTACTACTCGTCCTGCCTTCCGTGCTAGTAAACAATATGGCGCCCCCCTGTCAGCTCGTGGCATGGATGTATTGGATAGTCTCTGTCTGATGAGGACCTGAAGCATGGATCTAGTATAAAAAATCCAGTGTCTTCTAGGCCCATATTCTTCAGTATTTATTGCTGTCATGTTTTACTCAGTGGTACTGTGTGTGCGTAATGGGAGCAGACAGGCGGCCGGGATCGCGCTGGGTATACGGGGGCATTTCCAAGGAGCTCTAAAGAGGTCAGACCTCTGGGCACCAGCTCACCCCGGTAACTCCTCGCCCCTGTCCCAGCAGTGGACCGGGTTAAGAGCGCTGTCTGCCTCCCCCCCGGGACCACCCCAGGAGACAGACGCAGAGGAGCACCAGGCCGGTTTCGGGTCTCTGTCTGCGAACCTCTCCTCCCGCAGATCTTACAAGAAGACCAGCCCGTACCTGGAGGACATGAAATACCCCGATGATGAAGATGAAGATGCTCAAAGGGCCGTGAGGAGGCGTGCACCGGTCAATACGCCCTACTGGTACTTTCTGCAGTGCAAGAAGCTGATTCGAGACGGCAAGGTAAGGTCCAGTGTTGACTACAATGTTACACAAGTATTGAGGGGGAAAACAAGTAGGGCTGGAACGAGTAGTTGACTAAAAATCGAATCATCATCGAATTTAGTCGTGCAGTAGTCCGCCCTGTTAATCGATTAGTTGAAAGGGCGAAATAAGCTCTCAAAACTATTACGTATTTGACATAAACTGTACTCACCAAAACAATGTCATGCTAAAAGCTATATTTATACAAAACTTGAAATGAGCATGGCCTGAATAATACTGACATGACATCACCCTTTTAAAACAAAAGTACAACGAGTCAACCAATACAAATGTAATCAACTAAGATGCCATCAACCGATTAATGACTGATCGGCCTATGACTTTGAACAACTAGACTAGAGACTGTGAGGAAAGCAACAATATAATATAATTGTCCAGTAAGCATCAAAATATATTTTCATCACTCATTTTGACATATTGATCAACAAATTGTCCATCTTCTGTTTTTGACCCAATGTGGCTCTTCTGTCCCAGCTCCAGGAGGCTCTGGACCTGTTCAGTGGAGACATGCTCCAGGGAGAGAGGCTGCAGCCCGAGGAATTCAATTACAATGTGCTGATCGGAGGCTGTGGACGGGCTGGTCAGCTCAAGAAGGCTTTCAAACTCTATAATGACGTAAGCTACTGTTGCTCTTTGCACCCACAACACTGAAGGCTCTTTTAACTTCTTCATTCAAACTATTGATCTTGTGATGCAATGATAGTAAAGCATAGTTCTAATATAAAGCTTTTCATGACACCCGAAGACGCTGGTGGTAAGCTATTACTGTAGCCATACCTACAGGGGTGACAGTAGCTCGTTTGGTAGAGCATTGGCCTTTGAGCCAGAAGGTCGTGGGTTCGAGCCCTACTCAAGATTCCCACATCGACTCCCACTGTCTGCTGTCGTTGTGTCCTTAGACAAAACACTTCACCCCCATTGCCTAGAATGAGTCTGGTGTGTGTGAATGGTTGGTGGTGGTCGGAGGGGCCGATGGCACATACTGGTTGCCTCGCTTCTGTCAGTGTGCCCCAGGGCAGCTGTGGCTATAGTAGTAGTTTATCACCAACGTGTATGGAGTGAATGAATATTGACATGTGAAGCATCTTTGAGTATCCAAAAAAGCGCTATAAAAAACTGATACATTATTATTATTATACCTGCCCTGGGGAAGATTGATGGAAGCGAGGCAACCAGTCTGTGCTATCGGCCCCTCCAACCAACACCAACACCAACCATTCACACACATCAGAGCAAAATGCTAAGGCTTTTCCACAAAAACACAAAAACTGTATTAATTGGTTACTGGTTTCTTCAATGTTTGCCGTTCTATTTTGCATTGCATTCTTTATAAGGCAAGGCAGGCAAGTTTTATTTGTAAATCACAATTCATACACAAGGCAACTCAAAGTGCTGAACAGAAGAAGACAATCACACAAGGCTCTAAAATCATGAATAATCACAGTACATTAAAAGGAGTAAGTTTGAAATCCCTCGGTTGTACGCATAGCTCGACAGAACTGATTTTAACCAGATTTGAACACTGTCTCACAAAACATGGATTTGTTCAAATGTTCACCCCTGCAGCATCGCAATACAACCCTTTCCTGTCTATGTAGATGAAAAAGCGTGGTTTGGAGCCTTCTGATGCAACCTACACGGCTCTGTTCAATGCCTGTGCTGAGTGCTCTTTCAAACAAGCCGGGCTGCACCAGGCTGTGAAGCTGGAACAGGAACTACGGCGGAAGAACTACCTCCTCAGCACCATCACGTACCACGCTCTTCTGAAGGTCCACGCGGTCAACAACCACCTCCAGGCCTGTCTGCACACGCTCCGGGTATGCACTGTTTACTGGTTTGATTGGAACGGCTTTGACTTTGAATACACTATGCACTAACTGTTGTTTTGTTAGCACCTCCAAAGTTTACGGTAATTTTCCTCTGGTTTCAAAGAAGAAAAATTATGCATTATTATTGGCCATTCAAAATTGTATTGGAATTTTTTACTTTGTTTTATTATGTGAAATAATATTTCAAGTTGAAAATATATTTATGAAATAAATATATTTTATATTTATTAATAAAATAATGTTTTTGCCATTTTCAGAGGGAGGTTAAATGTACATAGCAATGTGATGTTTTATCACATTTCTTTAATGCAACAGTTTTTTTTTTTTGGTCCAACAGAAAGTCTTGTAATCATCTTATAACAAAACATGTTATCTTTTGGCTACGTAAGAAAGACTTGTGTGTTGCTATTTGACACTTTGGGCTGAGAGCTGATTGGTTGAGAAAAAGTTGATGCAAAGTCAAAAAAACATGCATGTGTGACAAACTTGTTTAGTAAATAGTACAGATTTTGGTGGTTTGAAAGTTAGACTCAAAACCACTGGATGGAAACTGAATATTTTTACATATTATATTATAACGATACCATCAGTGAACATGTGCTGTAATATGTAGCTATAGGATTAAAGTATTAGTAAAACTAATTTATTACCACAAATCTGTGTGAAACGGTAATTGCTTATGTCTCTGCACACAGGAGATGCTGGAGAACGGCCATGTTGCAACTCAGGAGACGTTCCACTATCTCCTGATGGGATGTGTGAAAGACAAGGACTCTGGGTTCAGACTGGCCCTGCAGGTAACAACAACCTTTACAGTCTATGGTAACAACATGAGCTTCTCTGATTCAGAATTCATGAGCTTGTTTTTCATTAACCCTTCTCATACTTTCCTCATGTAGATCTGGCGTCAAATGCTGATTTCTGGTATTCTCCCGGACTCTAAGAACTACACAGTCCTGCTCCGTGCTGCCAGAGACTGCGGGATCGGGGACCCTGCGCTGGCCTCGGCTGTACTGCTCAGCCCTACAGAGAAGCCTCGGAGGGACAGAACAAAGAAAGGGACTCCAAAAAACATGATTAATGTAGATGTTTTAGAACAGCAACTGTTTATCCAATCAGGACCAGAGACTCCCAAGGCTTTGATCAAACCAGACTCAGCCCTTATTCCAATAGCTGATGATTTGCCTCATACACTCCCTGCTAATATTGAAGAGTTCTCCTATTGCCCCAATCTGCTGGATGTGTTTGAAGGTAAAAATACTGGGGTGGTGTCCCTGCGTGCCGGACCGGGTGTGTCTGATCGCCTGGCTCTCATTGGAGGAGCTCAGGGCTTTCTACAGAGTATGGAGGTCAGAGGAGTCATACCGGACTTGAAGACTTTGACCCTGTTGGCTGACACTGCGGAGCCCAGTCGGGACACGCTCTCCTTGCTCCTGAGAACAGCCAAGCAGCATCGGCTCAAACTGGACGTGGCCTTTTTCAACTCTCTGATCCGCAGAGCAGCGAAAGCAGGAGACATGGAGACGGCACAGGTTAGAGATTTTGCTAATGACGTCTCTAGACTGACTACTGTATTCAACATTGCTTCTGTTATACTACTTGTTTAACTGAATGGGGGTTTATGGAGGGTGACCCAAACATCCAAAATCGTATCTTTCCCTGTCCTAATCGTAAGCTTCACTGAATATTTTGTGAAGATTAACCCAGGCGAGTCCAAACTAAGGCTCGAGAGCCAATTGCGGCCCGATGTGTCATTCTATGTGGCCCTATGCCTTGCTAACCCAAAATACCATTGAGATTATAAGCACAACTTTATAGTGTTATCCAGCCATCTTCCTCTTCTCCAATACAGGCATGTTCTACCTCATTGTTAAGCTCAAAACCATTTAAATCCATTTCTTTGTGTGCACTGACATTTGTTTTTTCATTATGGCTCTTATGTAGCTATTGGGAAAGCTATTCAACTAACCTCAGCTCTAACAGCTCATGTTATAGACCAATTCTAGCCAAAATTATTTCATAAGCCGTGTTGTCGGCAAAGGCAAGACCCAGGACACGCTGGAGGGACGCCTTGGAACTAACGTGGCCCTATAGTTTGAACACTCCTGGCTTAACCCATAACATTTTCAGTTTTGTTTTAAACTGACGGACAGACAAACCCTGGTGATCACATGTAATGGTATAATCGTGTCTTACAGGTTGTGTTGAGTACTATGCGTCAGCGTCATGTGAGCGTGGATACACAGACTTTTGGATGTCTGGCTCTGGGCTGTGAGAGGGAGAGGGACGCCCTGCAGCTGCTGACCAACATGGAGGTATCGGCCACTTTATCAATACAACGTGTGGAATTACAGATGTAATAGTAGCTGTATTGTTCACAGGAGCTGGGGTTCAGGCCAAACGTTCACGTGTTCTCTGCGCTGATTGGCCGAGCGGCACGCAGACTCGACTACATGTACCTGAAAAAGCTTCTGGTCCTGATGAAGGAGAAGGAGGTGTGGCCCAATGAGGTCATCATCAGGCAGCTGGAGTTTGCAGCTCAGTATCCCCCAAACTATGACCAGGTAAAGTGAGCCGGAACATACAAACTCAAGGCTACTAACTATTATTGGCTCATTATAGTTTTTTTTATTTTGTCATTGCACACATAATACCAGATTGATGGTCCTGGTTATCATTTCTATCAGCCATTCCGATGTTTTATGTATTATCCTCGGAACTAGAAAATGGTTAAAAAGTCCATTTACTTCTGCAATTCAATTTCAATGTGAAACTAGTATATGATGGACTACGGGAAACTCATTACACGCAAAGTGAGTTAATTCCAGCCTTTATTTTCTATAATGTTGAGAATTGGCTCATGCACAGATTTAAAGATGTCAATTAAAACATCTCAGAAAATGTGCCATAATTATCAACATTATAACATTATTACAACCATGGCATTTCTCTCTTTATAGTCTGCATTATATATTAGTTTCACATTGTTAGTTGAATTATAGAAAAAATTTACTTTTGAAAAATATTCTAACTTTCTATTTTCTACAAGTTTCACTTGTACTGTAGATTGGCGGATAATGGTACATTGCAATAGAACTAGGCATTTTCTGCCCCATCCATAGTCCAGTTAAGAAATAATTTTCTGATGGTGCCTGCTCCCTGATAGTTACCATGATAATTTCATTACTTGGAATTAATTTGTACATTATTTATTTACTTATGTTTTATTTCTGAAAGACTTAATTTAACACTGAGTTGTTTATTTAACCTGCAACTGAAAGAAAAAGAAAAACTTATTTCCGATGTTGATGGAAAAATATGCTGCATTTTGAAACATTCAAAGCAAAAGCTTTAGATAAACCTGAGCAAAAAGCAGACCCTGCACCAGGAAATGTATATCACACACCTTTGAATATCCAATCCACTTCAATCCACTTTATTTATATAGCACATTTCATAAACACAGTTTCCAAAGTGCCGCACAATAAAATCCCAATTAAAACAAATCAATTGTAAAACAGTAAAACAATACAAAATCAAATATGAAAAACGGTGTGTGCAAATATGTATAAATATTAAAATAACAATAAAAAGATGAAATAAAATAAAATAAAATGAAAATAAAAGGACTATACAACTCACGCAGTGTTAAAAGCCAGAGCATAAAAATATCATATCAACTTAATAACTCATTGTTTTTACTGCATACTTTCAGACAGCCCTGACAATTGAAACTGCTTTTCATGTTTGCAATCCTGTAGTAATTCAAGCTGTTGTTTTTTCTGCTCCTAGTACAAACGGAGAAACAATTATTTGGTGCACATCGATGGTTTCCGTGGTTACTACCAGCACTGGCTGAGGACCGTGCCGGCACAGACAGCAGAGCAGACAGAGACTCAGCCGGGGACCCAGACGCAGCCAGAGCCGGTGCAGGCGATAGAGGGCGGAGCAGATGGGCCGTCCGAGGCTCAGAGGAACCAGAGAGCTGCAGCTAGGAGATACAACTCTAAGAAAGGGGAAAGCAGGGCCCGCTCTGCTCTGTGAGGACCAGGACCCTTCATTCAAATTGTCTAGAACAGGGGTTGGATTTGATTATATAGTTCATTTTTGTGGTTCCACCGTGGTAGAATGCACTGTTAAAATTGTAATACTGTGTATAGAAAAAACAAAACAAACTATTATTTCATTTTGTGTCATGGCCAAAAGAGCCGTGACAAGGAGACAGAAGAGATAGATTCTAGACTAGGGTTGTCAAGAGTAAGGAAAATCATATCAATCTATCCAGGGGTTTTCAAATTCAATCTCAAAGGGCAGACGTGTGCTCCTGCTTGGTTGGAATGAAAACCTGCAGTCACATCGGCCCGTTGAGTTGAATACCCCTGAAATACTAATACATGAGACATACTAAAACATGTATCAAAACTAGATGCTAATTTGAGTATAGATGCTAACTAAAATTACATAAACTACAGATTGGACATTTCTTGAGCTCTCATTTGATAACCCTAACCCACTATATCAGAAGAACTTTAATACAGTACATTCTTGTGGGCCCATGAAAAGGATTATTATGGTTTCAAAAGTAAATTTAAAAATGATTATATTTATAGATTGTTGCTGTATTATCTACCATTAGAAGATACTATTCTGGACCATTTCAATGTTGGGGGGAAAACAAAAATGCAAATAAAGACTATTCACAAAATCTGGGAATATTCTTTGCTTTTTCCCAAATTCAGGTGAAGGTCTTGGATTCAATTCCCTCAGGGTGCGATGCTTTCCCTTACCACTAAAAACATGTACAAAAAGTCTGGGATCCTCTTGTACAGACTTTCTAGGTGGACACAGACAGAACTGCATTTATTTTTTCTTGCTCTGACCTATGGCTTTGACACTGTCACATTGGAAACCTGGAACTTGAATGGGACTTAATGATGAAAAGGGGTTATATGACAATCATTTTATATAATAAAAGAATATGATATGTTTTATATTTTACTTTTGTACAGTTAGGTGATGCCCCTCTTCATAAGATTCAGGCAGGACTCACTAAATATTTGGCCTTCTATTCACAACTACAATCGCTTTTGATTTTTAGTTTCTTTTTTATTATTGCCCATTTTTACTGGAGGTCATGTGGGTACGCATGTTTTTTTTAAATTTTGACTTAAAAGATGCTTATCCCAAAGCCACAGCCTTGAGTCATTGTGCAAATACTTGTAGTTCCAGTTTTATGGCGTTTACCTAATATTGACTTTCCATCCTTTTCAAAAGAATAAAAACAATATAGAATTTGTTAAGAATTTTTTTTTTTTTTCAATGATGCCAGTGGTTATGATTGTGAAGAATATGGGCTGGTTACTTTGCTCTGCGTTCACCTACCATTCCTCTGGCCAATCTCATATTGAGGGTATAAATCATCTGTTTAAATTGTTGTTTATTTGTGTGACTCATTAGACCAAAGTACTGGTTGAAAGATTGGTGTAAATGGAAGGATGCAAAATGCAATAAATAAAGTACCTTAACCGCACTTTTTTCAAGTTCTTTTAACCCAGCAGCCTGTATAGCAATGTCAAAAGAATGATTCCCTCACACTTAGTTTCAAAATGTATTGGGAAATACGATATTTAAGTGTTACGCCTTCATCAAGCAAAGATGAAATGAGCACCAGGGAAGTCATTTAGAGAAGGGTGGGGCAGGAACCCAAGGGTGTACAGTCACTACACCCCACAGAGCATTTCACAATAAATCACATTACAAATGAGTGAATACTGTAAAAAGATACACTATAAATACACATTTTCCATACAAGACTAATCACCAATATAGTGAAATATTATATATATTACGTCCTCGGGGGCCTGTTAAGATAACTTCCCTGGTGCTCATCTCATATTTGCTTGTCGAAGGCTTCACTTTGCATTCTCAATAAATGTGCATTTTGCAAGTAAGATGGTGTGTGGGAATAATTATTGTTTACAACCTTATCATTTTATTTTTAAAAACAGCAAAATGTCCTTATTTCAATATTAAATAGTTTTGACTTTTGGCTTCATAGTATTTCTAGTAACATCAAGGTTTCAATTGTGTATTGTACACAATACACAATTGAAACCTTGATGAAGAAACGCTGAAGAAAAATACGCTGAAGAAAAATATGAACACAGTGATTTTGTTTCTGCTTGAATCTTCATGGATTCAACTTATTTAAGTAGGTTGTTGATTGTGGCCAGTGAAATGTGGGTCCACTCGTTGATGTGCGAAGTTGCAGATTTGGGGTTCTCTGGATCGCTGCATATGACTGTGTTCCAGCTCCTGCCAACATCCTGTTACTTGCCACAGCCATTGAAGAGGACCAACAAAAATCCAACAAGATACGATTAACACTGACAACATATTGAGAGACATTTGTGAGCACTAGAGTGTTTTATAGCTTTAAGTTGAACCTATGGAAAGTGGGAGCAAAACAAAAGCTCATATTTTGTTCATTGATTGACTGCGGAACCTTCCGCAGTCAACCATTGGTTTTGTATTTCTTTATTCCGTCATTTTTTTTGACACGTTTCACAGCTTTCACATTTTCAACAATTTCCACAAGTTATACATCAAAACGTTCCACATGTTTGGGAGATTATTGCTATTACTTTTGGGACTTCAGCGATTTCCGGTTTTTCCGCAATCGGACAAAAATCTGCATTGAGAATTCTGCAATGCATTTTAATAGGCCCATGCATTTTAATAGGACTTCAGCTCTTTCAGACATTTCTACAGTTTCAATGATTCAACCAGTTTCAAGGATTCAACAGTTTCAAGGATTTGCAACTTAATAGGGATTTTTCCATGTAAACCAGTATAATGCAGAGGGATTTTTCCATGTAAACCAGTATAATGCAACTTAATAGGGTTTTTTTCATGTAAACCAGTATAATGCCACTTAATAGGGTTTTTTTCATGTAAACCAGTATAATGCAACTTAATGGGGATTTTTCCATGTAAACCAGTATAATGCAACTTAATAGGGGTTTTTACATGTAAACCAGGTATAATGCAACTTAATAGGGTTTTTTCCATGTAAACCAGTATAATGGAACTTAATAGGATTTTTCCATGTAAACCAGTATAATGCAACTTAATAGGGATTTTTCCATGTAAACCAGTATAATGCAACTTAATAGGGTTTTTTTCATGTAAACCAGTATAATGCAACTTAATAGGGGTTTTTTTTCATGTAAACCAGTATAATGCAACTTAATGGGGAGTTTTTCCATGTAAACCAGTATAATGCAACTTAATAGTTTTTTTTTTACATATAAACCAGTATAATGGAACTTAATAGGGTTTTTTCCATGTAAACCAGTATAATGCAACTTAATAGGGATTGTTCCATGTAAACCAGTATAATGCAACTTAATAGGGTTTTTTCATGTAAACCAGTATAATGCAACTTAATGGGGGATTTTTCCATGTAAACCAGTATTATGGCAACTTAATAGGGATTTTTCCATGTAAACCAGTATAATGCAACTTAATAGGGTTTTTTCATGTAAACCAGTATAATGCAACTTAATAGGGTTTTTACATGTAAACCAGTATAATGGAACTTAATAGGGGTTTTTACATGTAAACCAGTATAATGGAACTTAATAGGGGTTTTTACATGTAAACCAGTATAATGCAACTTAATAAGGATTTTTACATGTAAACCACTATAATGTAAACTTAATAGGGTTTTTTACATGTAAACCAGTATAAAGCAAATTAATAGGGATTTGTACATGTAAACCAGTATAATGCAACCTAATAGGGATTTTTCCATGTAAACCAGTATAATGGAACTTAATAGGGGTTTTTACATGTAAACCAGTATAATGGAACTTAATAGGGTTTTTTACATGTAAACCAGTATAATGGAACTTAATAGGGTTTTTTACATGTAAACCAGTATAATGGAACTTTAATAGGGGTTTTTACATGTAAACCAGTATAATGGAACTTAATAGGGGTTTTTACATGTAAACCAGTATAATGCAACTTAATAGGGATTTTTACATGTAAACCAGTATAATGGCAACTTAATAGGGATTTTTCCATGTAAACCAGTATAATGCAACTTAATAGGGTTTTTTACATGTAAACCAGTATAATGCAACTTAATGGGGATTTTTCCATGTAAACCAGTATAATGCAACTTAATAGGGGTTTTTACATGTAAACCAGTATAAAGGATGAACAGTTTAAAGGATATCAGGAGCTTCAAATACTTCAGGAGTTTCAAAGATGTTTAAAGTATTTTAACAGTTTCAAGGATTTCAAGGATTTTTCAGCTAAATTCCACATTAGATCTGTTCCGCAGTCAATCGCAATGGCTTCAGCCATTGCAAGTTTCTAGTTTTGTTTTTATCTTTCGTGCCTGTGATGTATGTATGTATGTATGTATGTAGATAGGTAGGTGTAGGTATGTACTGTATGTATGTATTTAGTTACATAAAGTAGTGTTTTTCAACCAGTGTGCCGTGGTACATTAGTGTGCCTGGAGATGTTGTTTGGTGTGCCCAGGGAAATATTCCAATATCACACATTTGGTCAAAATAATGTGAGAAGATTAGAACAATATTTTGCTATATACATTTACTGTGATTAGAATGACTGCTTTCATACTAAAAGCTGCAAAGTTTGTATCAGTTTCAGCTGGTGGTGCGCCATGTGAGTGTTTTCAACCAAAAAAAATGTGCCACGGCTACAAAAAGGTTGGAAAACACTGGTATAAAGGTTTAGGGCAATAATTCCTCTGCGCCTTGACCCCTCGGTGCACTCTCACGCTGGCTCCTCCACAGCTAGAGGGAGACAGCGCGGTCTTTGGGGCGCCTTGGCTGCTCGCGGTGCCGTCTTTGCCATCACGCTCTCGTTTGCGCGTTTTTAACCAGTCGGCGATCGGCTATTAATCAAAACAATAGCGCTGTGTCCGTCCACCTCGTATCCACCTGGGAGGGCCTTGTGCCGTGCCAAAACGTGTCCCGATCGCGTACTTCTCTCACGGCGCCTGGCTTCCTGTGTAGAAGTAGAAGCTCTGGTGGTGGGGCTAGTGGATTATTGAGCAGCAGCCGGGTTGTTCCCAGATCTACAGCGTGTCGGTAACAGACTGTCACCCCGCTGTCGGCTGCTTTCATGGGGCTTCCGTGCGTCCGCCTCACCGCTGGAGCCGAGGAGATCATGGCGCGGATTTACGCATGATTTTCGGGTCGCAATAGCCCTCACGGTGGATATGGAATGGTGCATGCTGCTGGGCCAAGTTTTCAGCCGCTGAAAACCATCATGGACAGTCATCCGCTGTGAGTACTAGCGTCTGTCTGCTTATGTTGACTTGACTGATGGTGCCGCATAGACCGAGACTACCCTAATGTTGTGGCCGAGGATAGATGCCAGCGAGGCGGCCACGGAGGGCGCGTCTGTCCGGCGCTTAGACCCAGCACAGCGTGTGTTTGTTGGGATAATGTATGTGTTAATGGCTCAGTGAGAGGTAGTGTCAACTCTTTCTAGACGTGTGTGTATGTATGTGTGTGTGGGTGTGCTGCTACTGCTGCTGCTGACAGAAAACAAGTGCCACGTGATAGGACATAATGAACGCATAGCCATATGATATTAGTGTGTTTGTGTATGCCATGATGTGCTACTGCTATTATGGTTGAAGTTATTATTTTATGCAGATGTGGATTGTGTAATCCTGACCCACAGTGGCTTTACTTGTAAAAGGTGAAATAATAGGTGAAAATGTACTGATAACTAACATTGAGGCCAGATTACTGAAAATATGGAATATTGACAAATGTGTGATACTACTTATTACTTAAACAGGTCTGCCAGGCTCTGTGACAGGTGCACTTAGTAAGTATGAAAATAATGTCTAATTAGTTCTGCCCTGTATGTTTCTGCTGTCAGGTGCACTAGACTGTGTCCACATTCTCTGAGTGACAAAGACGATGGAGTGGAGAGGCAGGGCCCTGTGACCCTGAACCCCCGGCACATGAGGAAGGCTTTTAAAGTCATGAACGAGCTGCGCAGGTGAGCATGTTTCCTCAGCTTTCCTACACAATATACCATATCCTATACCTGCACACATGAATTGTACATGTTTGGTGTTACAGCCAGAGCCTACTGTGTGATGTGACCATAGTAGCAGAGGATGTTGAGATATCGGCCCACAGAGTGGTTCTCGCAGCTGGAAGCTCCTACTTCCATGCGATGTTCACAGGTGAGGCCGCCCTTATAAATGTTTAGTCTTCAACCATTATGCCTTGCTGACGTGTGCACTGCTTTAGGGGAGATGACAGAGAGCCGTGCCAAGCGGGTGAGGATTAAGGAGATGGACGGCTGGACTCTGGGGCTTCTGGTGGACTACATTTACACGGCAGAGATCCAGGTCACAGAGGAAAATGTGCAGGTAAGTGTCCTCCATTCATCAGGCTAACTTAAAGCAACTGCTGAAATGTGCAGTTTATGCTTTTATATGCTTTATATAAAGTCTGTAACTTATTTAGTGAGAATCACTGCTGGATTGTTTTTTATCAATATAACAACGATGAGATATATGTATAATGTGTGGATATAATATATTCGAGTTGCAAATATACTCCATGATTATGATCCTACTGTTGGATGACAGGGCATGCTGTCACGTTTGATGTATGATTCAGAATGTGTAATGCCACACCTTCCACCTTCTGTTGTGTGCCTCCCAGGCTCTGCTGCCTGCTGCTGGTCTGCTCCAGCTGACCGAGGTGAAAAAGGCTTGTTGTGAGTTCTTGAGCTCCCAGCTTCATCCCTCCAACTGTCTGGGAATCCGAGCCTTCGCTGACCTCCACGCCTGCTCCCAGCTGCTCACACAGGCTAACAGCTACGCAGGTTTATGTGCTCAAATTGCTATATTTATACTGTATGTGTAGTGGCAGCTCTTATTGCTCTGTTCGACGATGTTGGGGCTAAAGAACAGAGGCAGAGACAGAATGGGGGCAACGTAATTAATGCAGATGTGAAACCAGGGAAGCCTAGTTTTGGAAAATGGCAATGTTCTTCCCGGCTAAAAAGTTTACTTTCTGTTTTTGCATACAGAGCAGTATTTTACAGAAGTAGTGGGAAGTGAAGAATTCCTAAATTTGGGCATGGATCAAGTGTCGAGCCTCATCGCTAGTGACAAACTGACTATTCCCACAGAGGAGAAGGTAAGGACCATGTGAAGGCCTTCGTATTTTTTACCTGCTCACCCCTGGCTCACACGCACAGTGACCTCAGGGCAACTACAGTGCACACTGCGTACAATAAAACTCCCTCAATGAGGTCTCAAAACGAGATCTGTGCAGAATGTCTCTATTTACTTCATCATTTTAAAGAAGATTAAAAACTCACTGGATGTGCAGTGGCCCTCGTCTGCTGCGTGATTCGCACATTACTGTGCGGTGTGAGCAGGGGAACCTCTGTCTCCAAACTCATAATTGACACTGGTGAAATGTTGTGCTTTTCAACTATAACTGATTTTTAACCAAGAAAAGCCTCTTTCTGAGTGGAGTTTGCGTGTTCTCCCTCTGCCTCCCTCTGCCCCCTGTGCCCCTACACGCTGCTTCTGGGTGTGGTGCGTCCCGGTTTGCAGTATAAGCTTTGTCTAGTACACTAATTTTTTTTTTAAATATAACTAGTCTCATCCCAATTTTCGTATGAACCATGGTTTCAGGTGTTCTAACCAGTACATGTGTCACAGGTTTTCGAGGCTGTTGTTGCTTGGGTCAACCATGATAAGGATGTTCGCCAAGAGCACTTGGCTCATCTGATGGAACATGTGCGGTTGCCACTTCTAACTAGAGAATATCTGGTGCAGGTTAGTGCTTTTCCTGTGCTTGTACACAAGTTGTTAAAGGATTAGCATTATGTTGATGCTGTTGAAACCACATTGTTGTTTATTTTTCCAATCCTTAAGCGCGTGGAGGAAGAGTCTCTTGTTAAAAACAGCAGTGCCTGCAAAGACTACCTGATCGAGGCTATGAAGTATCATCTGCTGCCCGCCGACCAGAGAGCTTTAATGAAAACAGCACGTACTCGGATGAGGACCCCAGCCTGCTGTCCCAAGGTGAGAAATGGGGACTGCACACGTTGTGCTACTGCAGCTTGATAGATTGGAGTATTGATGTTTTGGTTATTTGTAGGTGATGGTCGTGGTTGGAGGACAAGCTCCCAAGGCTATCCGGAGTGTTGAGTGTTATGACTTTGAAGAACAGAGATGGTACCAAGTCGCCGAGCTGCCCACAAGGAGGTGCAGAGCAGGTAAGACCCAAATTTTATTCTGTATTATGATCCATTTTGAAGCCATTAGATCAGGGCTGTCTATCTCATTCGGGTCAGGGCCAAAAAATAAAATCTGTTTGTAGAAAATAGTTTTTTTTAAATTATGATTATCTTGCATTTTATGAAGGTACTTGAACAAATTACTTTATTACTTCTGTCATCACTGTGTGGAGTGAATGAAAAATGTTGGTACTCATTCTGTGATATGCACTATACAAATAAGAATTTCTTACTTCTTTCCTTACTTACTTGCTAACATGGCAGGCTGTACAGATCTCTAAACAGCACCTGCTCTGGAGTAATTGATGTGAGATATAATTGAAGAGTAACCGTGTACCTTCCAATACCGTGTTGGGTTCAAACTTAAAATGATTGTCTGGAACTCTATATAAATTACAAATGTTAAGAATTGTATTAAATTAACCTCCTGGGCTTAAATGTTGATATAAATTAAGTCATTTTATGAATTATAATATTACGGGTAAGTCCCGCCTTCCCTTCTTTTAGCTATAGCCATACACTGTATATATTACCGGACGTAGTCACGCCCATCTCTGCCGTTCTAACTAATGGGCCAAAAATTGGGAGTGGAGAAAAAACGCATCTGAGTGAAACGAGTGACTTCAAAAATTCACAGCGACTAAACTAGACTGGTCCAAAAAAAATCACTCCCCTCAGCATTGACACACATGTGGAACGGAGCTTTGGGCCAAGAGCCAACTTTTGGACCATCCTGTATAGACGTTTTCGAGAGGTCTGCCAACGCTATATGTTAGTATTGGCTAATTCTTATTCCGGGTCCCGGGGTGGTATTGCAGCATGTCAGCGCACATCATTTTGGCCACTTTTGAGCTGGGACCCGCCCCCACTGGCTATAGCTCAAAATCCACAATGCCGTCTACTCTAACCAATCAAGTGATCCCAAAGGCTGTCAATCATCAGCGCTGATGCTCCTAGCTGCGTATGCTCAGTTGTTTGTTTTCACGGAGCCTTCAAATCAAGCCTCCATTAGGCTCTATTTACAGTGAAAATTAGCACACAAAAAACAAGTTCACACTGACACATAGGTCACCTTTAAGTTTCACATGAGCATAATTCCCATTTAACCCACCAGGAAATAGTGTCCTGGTTCGATCCTCACGCACAGACCCAGAGGAGCGCGACAGACCGATAGGTGTGTAAATGTGTGCTTGAATGTATTTCTGATCCGCACAAGTGTGAACTTTTGGCGAACTAGTAACTGAGGGGAGAGACGGACGAGAGAATGGATGATGGGTGTGGATGTTACGTATGAATGGAACGGAAAAAAGGTGTGCGAGTGTGGAATGGCGTGTGTGTGTGTGTCGGTGTGTTCGTGCGTGCCGGTGTGTGTGGCGCGTGCGGCATGAAAGTCAGCCTTCAGTATAATACTATATTTGCGCACGTAGCTAGAGACGGACCGCTCCGTCACACTGGCATTGCACCACGCCTGGACTGGTTTATGTGAAGTACGCAAAGGTGCTTACTAACTCAAGTGATAGTACGCATTTCTGATATTTGTCGCGCATGCGTACCTGCGTACCACTTATGTGCACCCCTGTGTATAATGTGTTCTCCGACTAACATTTAAATGTGTTGATTGTTACGGAAACGTAGACCAATCAGAAAAGAAGGGGGAGGGAGGTTGGGTCGTTTTTTTCAAATCATGTACCTCTCTCTCTTTTTTCTGACAAACTCCAGACAATCACTTAGAGAATGAACTAAGAATGAATCAAAGGCTCAGGTTGCTTTCCTAAGAAGACAAGCTTTACAATGAGGTATGACATGCCATTACCGTCAATGTTGCAAGTTAATGATAATTTCAGGTGCAACTTAAATGGTTTTATATGACTGCATTAGATTCATAAATGTGGCAAATATGGTCAACACATGTGATGTTTCCAGTCCATATGGTTTAGTGAGGATTACCAGACCATTCAAACACTGAGCAGTTCATAATGGATTACTGTAGAGGGATTTACTCAGGTATGCACGCCAAAAAAAACAATTCTTTGGATGATGGTGAATGTTTGGTGACATTCTGATTATACCCTGTGCATTTATGAATCAATTATGCATTATATATATTTATTAAAGCTTCTTTCCCCTTGTGGAATTATTACAAGCTTTTTGGGCACATTGATAAGCAGGTTTTTAAATGTATTGTTATTATCTTATCATGCTCTTTTTATTCTAGCTGTCCTGTAAGACGTAATCTATTGCTGTGTGCTCCTCTTTCCTACTGTTCTATAACTTGTGATACAACACTGAAATTTCCCCACTGTGGGGCGAATAAAGGATCTCTTAATGACGTTGACATTACCCCACTGTAGAATAAAGGCATTTGATTTGAAAATAAAAAATTGGCACTTGCTGTAGATTTGATGACAGAATTTCTCTATCTAAGGCGCAATAAAGTATTAATGTCTATAAAGAGAAGGACCTCATCTTGTGTAGGAATTCTGATGACTTGGTCCTCTCCTCTCTGCTGTGGTCTATTAATGCTTACTATAGAAACAAAAGCTAAGTATGCTGTAAGTTTAGCAGACCAGTAAAACAGTGCTGTAAGAATCTGCAGTTGTACCGTTGTACTTGTACCTATAGGTTTAATTGTCCAGATATTGGCACTAGAAGCATGCACTTGTAGGCTAAGTAACATTTGTCGCTATTGTTCTGCATAAATATGTAAAATGTCATCCTTTGAAATTAGTGTGTCTTGCCCATTCACCATGGGATGTGAAAATACCATGAGTTTCTTCTTCCATCTTCACACAGTCTGGCTTTTTATATCAGAGTTCCCATTAGTGCCACTACCCATTACCTCCAACAGGGTCGTTCTGTGTTTTTCTTTTTCTAATATTGTATCCTACATAGCAATGATGTGTTTGTGGAGCCTTCCGAAGCGTAGAGGCTGTGTTGCAAATGTTTCGAAGCGTCAACCGTCAACACTGTATCAGTCTGATAGAAGCATTGAAATCTGGTGAACAAACGTAATTAATGCAACTTTTTGTTTTTGGATTAAAAAACAAAGATATCTAAATGACACCATATAGAGTGGAGTGTGTGTTTTGCTTCCCCTCATAGTGATGCCCTTCTGTCTATTTCTCTGTCCCAGGGGTTGTCTACGTGAGCGGGTGTGTATATGCAGTCGGCGGCTTCAACGGCTCGCTCAGAGTGCGGACAGTGGACTGTTATGACCCCATGATGGACCGATGGACCAGTGTGAACAGTATGCAGGACCGCCGCTCCACACTGGGGGCAGCGGTGATGAACGGCCTCCTCTACGCAGTGGGAGGCTTTGATGGGAGTACAGGTAATGTGGCGGGGTACTTAAAGTAGCAATATGTAACATTTCCATGTCATGTCATCATTAAATGGCTCTATTATGTCAAAAGGCATTAATAAAACATGCTCTTTTCCAATACTTCTTTAACTGATAACTGTAGTTCAGCCAAGATATTTGTAATTCAAATTTAGTTTTACGGCGCCTAAATCTTGTTATTGTTTTCATTTCAATGTCCCGCCGTCCATGGTTTTAATCAATCAGAAAGTTAGTGATCCGGGTTGACAGAACTCACCGCGTCGAGCTAATCTCACTGGTGAAGTAACTCTTAATGTGAAGTAAACTTAATGACAAAACAAGTAATAAAACCAGGATTTCTATTTTTGTGAAAAAATGTGTTGGTTATAGATTTATAGACTCTGTATTCAGATATCATGGTCAAAGCTGGATTTGTCTGCATGTCTGGCAACCTGAGTCAGGGAGAGTGCAGTACCACTTCTGACCAGATTTTTACATACTGCTCCTTAAAGCTGCATTACCTGACTTTATTTTTGTATTCATTATGAAAATTCAATCCATATCCATGCAATGCATTGGGATATACGTCCTTTTGAAGAAAAAGTAACGCAGATTTGTGCTGGCGTGTCATTTTATTTTAGATCGAGTTATCGTGAAACAAGGAAGAGAATGGGCGGCACGGGGTTGAGTGGATAGCACTCTCGCCTCTCAACAAGAAGGTTCTGGGTTCGAATTCCAGTCGGAACAGGGCTTGTTTATAGCACTGTGATGATCTCTGGTATTCTGTATAGGGCAAATATTCTGGAATAGCTAACATTCCATTACAGGTAAAAGCAAGAATTTAAAATTGTATCGTTCAAAACTCCATTTACTTTTTGTATTAAAATATGAAATCAATATATGAAAGACTCATTACACCCAGATGTATCAAGCTATAATGTATATTATTATATTACCTTTTATAGTCTATTATATTATATATTATATTTGCTATAATGTTGATAATTGGCTAAAAGTTTTAAATTGGACTGTCCAGTTTTATAAAAAAGGCTTTACATGTACTTTGCATGTACTGAGTCTAATATCATACCTGGTTTTCCAAAATGTAAATTTGAATTACAGAAATAAATGAACTTCATTCTGACAGGTATGAGTTTTACCTACATCCATTCATTTATCCAAACCAGTTTCACCTGTATTTGCTGTTATAGAATTAGTTTGCTGAAATATGCAATGTCAAAAGTGTAAAAATACCATTGTCGTAGATTAACACAGAGACGGATCGTGGCGCACCAGAGCTTCTGGAGTTTATCAGGTTTCCTTCAGGTTCCTTCAGGTTCCTCAGTTGTTTCAGTTTTTTCAGACAGAACAAAGTCAGCACATGGTTTTTATAGTCATTGTTACGTCACACATTGAAAGACATACGTGTCACATCCAGAGACAGTCAGAGCGTATTATAGTCATGACATGAATACACAATCAGAGTCCTTGTAGAGTCTTGCGTTTGTCCACCTGGTAGGTCATAGTTATCTAATCCTTATACCATCACTATCTGTTTCCAGGTTTGTCCACGGTCGAAGCCTACAACTCCAAAACAGACGAGTGGTTTCACGTCCTGCCCATGAGCACGCGCCGGAGCAGTGTGGGAGTCGGCGTTGTCAATGGTGAATAATACTATCTCATACTCTTGGTTAAAAATAGATCCGAGAGGAATAAAAATAACACATTGTAGTCTTAGGCTGGTTTGAACCATAGTCAATTCATCGGATGAAAACTGTTTAAAATGGTGACGCTATTAATATGTATATATAATATATATTTTAATATGTTGTGTTTTTTATGTTTTAGGAATCCTTTATGCTGTTGGAGGTTATGATGGCGCGACGAGGCAATGTCTGAGCACAGTAGAAGCATACAATCCCAAGAGCAACACGTGGAGCTACATCGCAGAGATGGGAACCAGGCGCAGTGGGGCAGGTGCGTGGATTTGTGTGGAATTGTATGAGGATACAGGCACTAGAACGTTCTTTAGGTTTAGAGGTTTGTGCCTCATTTGGCACAAACTTTTAAAACTTATTTTAGCGGCTACATTTAGATGTGCTGAGAAAAACAATCTGTTCTTTCTAAAAAAAGTGGTATGGCGGTAGTATTTTGTAGAGGTTTTGTATGTTTTTTTTTTCAGGCCCAATACCAATAATAATAAGTCAAGGAGGCTGATAGAGAAATTGAGAGAAGGAGATGTATTAAGCCAATATTAATTTGCAGTAGAACATTTAGAAAATTTAAAACAAATTAAAACACTTGTTTAAATGTCTAAAACAAATGAATGGGAGAATGGCACCCAATGTACTGAATGTGACATAACTTCAGAAATGCTGATAAAGGGTTGCAGACTTTATGGGCTGAATACAGTAGATTTCACCGGTCAAAGAGGCTGACTTGTATTTGATGCAATTCATTTGGACCAAATCAGTTTGTAGGCACACAAACAGTAAGCACACGAGGTCTGTTGTGCAGTAGGCTATGGATGTTTGTGCTTAATTAAGTTGAATCATTATTGTTGTCACAATATCTGTGGCAAGTATTTTGGAGATTTTTATGTCTGAGTCTTATTAATACTATGCAGGTTAGATAACTAATCATGAAAAAAGAATTGTTTGCCATGAAAAGGTGACTAACATAAGGCCGTATACACTGACAAAAACTGAAATGACAAGTTGATATAGGTCACTGGTAGCCTGGCCTTAGCCATCCGTACACTCCGCTCAATCATCATTTCCCTGCATGTAATGTCTGGGTCTGGTCCTTGTGTTAGCGATTACAATCGGTTGAATTCCATCCGACCAATCAGCAAGCACGGGAGGCGGGTGTTGTAGTTAATTGTGGGTGACGTCAAAAGTTTGCGCCGAACGGGAAGGTTGTAGTTTGGCAAAGGCTTAGAATGCGATGGTAAAGTAATCCGGTCTGGTTCTATCAAGAAATTGAAGCCGGAGCAAGAGGAATGTTTTGCAAATATAATTGCTGGCAAAAATTGTTGCGCTACTCCCCACGGGCTAACCTTGCCTGCAAGCTGAATTCTCGCGGTATTGGTGATACTCGAGAATACATCTTGCCCCGCTCCCGCCAACCCTTTTTGAGTAGAACATCTAGGTGTTCAAGCCAATCACGCCCCAGTCTGGGGGTTTAGGGCGGGATATCCGGGTTTGACGAAAGCAAGAAGTGCCGGGCCGAAGCAAAACAAACATAGCTACGCAGGAGGACGGACGCGTAGCTGAGGCTTTCAAGTCAGAATCTCCAATTTCTTTTTTGAAAGATGAACAGCGAGAGGCGCTTTGTGCACGCCGATGACGACATAATGTTACCGGGATTGGTTTAAGTCAAACCTTGGTAGGCGGGCACACAGCGTCACTTCGCCCAATCAGCTTGAAGTATTCTGCTGCTTATCCCTCCTTTCCCCGAAAGGATTCTCCTGCAGAAGTCCCAGATTGATATTGTGGAGAACGCATTAGAGGTTACCCACAGGCTTCGTTAGCGGCAAAGGAGATGGCTAGGCTAAATGCTAAATGCTAACGACTCACTCAGGCGCATTACATACGTCACGGTAAACTCAGATCCAATCGTTTCAATCTGCAAAAGTAGTTAACCCCTCCCACCTGTTAACGGAGCTCGATGGAGCACGTCCAGACCTTAGGACGAAATGTAATTTGTATTATGGTGTGGTACGACCAGACTAGGTCACTGGCTAATGCAGATTCTTAAAACAATTTTATGGCAAGTTTGATAAATATATATAATATAAAAGGTGGAAGTGTGTAAACTGATGGCCACAGCTTTTTGATCAATTTGGTGACTGAAAATCTTACTTTTGCCAAACAAACATTTAATATTAACTTGAAATTATGGCAACAAATAAATGCAGTGTTCAAACTAACTCACTGAATTAAATGTGTAGTTTTCTTCTCAAAATAATGTCATTTCCATTTAAGATAGGATAAGATGTACTTTATTGTAAAGGAGAAATGTACAATTGTTGTGCCTTAGATTCTCTTGTTCAGCGCTCTTGGGCCTCCATTCGGACATGTATATTATAATGCACACTTTATTACCGTAATAACATTCTTCCTCAATAAAACATTTCAGGAGTGGGAGTGTTGAAAGGATTACTATATGCAGTGGGGGGACACGATGGACCTTTGGTTCGGAAAAGCTGTGAGGTATATGACCCCGCCTCTAACAGCTGGAGACAGGTGGCGGACATGAACATGTGTCGAAGGAACGCAGGTAAGGCACACTTACAGTATTCAATTCAATGTATTCTTGTATATCCCTAAACCACAACAATAGTTATTGCGGAGGACTTAACAAAACCATTGAATTCGCCAACACCAATCAGAGAATGAAACAGTTTAAAAACAAGAAATGCTATGATAAAAAACACATAGAGCCATTGGTCCATAAGTGGCAGATGACCAATGTACATTAATGTTGAATGTCCTGGATCATCACCACTGTCCTTTTTGTTAGACCTCTCAAGGGTCTAACAGATTGATAATATATTTTCAAGTGGTTTTGAAGTCTGCATTATGATTATTTCTAGGTGTGAGCACAGTAAACAACCTGCTATATGTGGTGGGAGGAGATGATGGCAGCTGTAATTTAGCCTCGGTGGAGTTTTACAATCCTGGGACCGACAAGTGGACCCTTCTGCCTACATGCATGAGCACAGGAAGAAGTTATGCAGGTGTGTGCACATTATTTATCTTTCTTGTACAGACGGCCATCAGATAATTCTGCCTTTTTTCTGAATTGGCGTTTTTATTCCCTCTCCAGGTGTAACAGTGATAGATAAACCCCTATGACTGACCGCAGCTGCTGAGACTGACCTGGAGTAAAATGTATTCTCACATTGAATACTGATCTTGGCTCTGTCTGCAATGCCAATGTTGGGCAGCACTAGCACAGGCTCCAATGAGGATGAATATCAAGGATGTTGAAGTTTTTTGCACTTACTGGAGGGAGATGGATCAACGTGGGTGTGAAACCCATGTTTCAAAGCCCTCGTGGAAGGACTACAGATGTGACTGGCCAAACCAGTTTTTAGTACCACTGTACTACTGTAGTGCCATTTTAAAGGCCACTGATATGAAGCGACTAAAACTGCAAAGACACACTAACATTTGGATGAAGCAGCTTTGGATGAAGACCACTGATCTATTTAAGGAAGGGGAAGGGCTAAGGAGCACTTGGGGCTGAGCTGTTTCTCCTGTGTCCCGCCTGAATGTATGTGTGGTTGTGTAAGCTTGCATTAGAGCTGCCCAGTGCCTGCACAGGTGAGCATGTGTGTGTCTGACTGCGCAGTGTGGCTGTGGAGAGCCTGAATGTCTGCTTCCTCTTCCTGCTCTCGAACCTGTGTTCTGCCTCAGTACTGTTATGGGACAACCTTTCTTTTGGGATGAGGAATATTTTTTAAGACCGAACTTGAAGTTGGCTGAGTTAGCTGCATGATTCCAGAAGTGAAAAGCAAGAAGATGGTAATTATATTGTATATTTATTCTTGAAAAAATCTGACATTTGAAGTGTTTGTACTGGTTAAAGATCATGACTGGTTAAAGATCATGACATGTCTGACAGAGGGGGAGGCAGCGTGCAGTGCCATTCATGACTATGGAAGGCTGATCTTGGTGCATGGTCCCTATCTCTCCTGTCCTCTCTGACAGTATCCTGTCCTTGGTGTAGCAACTGTATAATCGCACACCCTGACGTACTATGAATGTGCCAATTTTATAGCTCTCTTGATTACATGACAAATGTGTTCTTTCTGCGAAGTGACCAAACCTACTGTTAGCATTTACTCCAATATCTTTCTTACTTCTGCTATATTGAATCGCTATAGTAACTGGTATCGCTGTTCTTGTCAGTGTATTGAGGAATGTCATGTAAGCTAATGACTATGAACCATTTCATTACTTGTTTTATATTGCCATTAATAAATATGCTTCTTGTATTTAAAGCTGTGAAATGATAAATGCTGTTTTTAAACTTTGCCAAATGAGTAAAATAATGAAAAGTATTTTGTCTTGTTTTTGTATTCTTTTATGACTCATTCTATGCTTTACACAACATTTATTTAACATTGTCTAGGATCGAGATAATTTTCTTAAAGATTATGAAATTGAAAAAAACTGCATATAGAAACATTAAAAAGTCTCAATGCCAGGAAGACCGAAGTGGGGAGTATATACGAAAACCCGTCAAATTGACTGCACTGTGAGATCTAGTGTTAAATTCAGTTTTTGATTTATATTTTTTCTTTTTTTCGATGTTCTGATTAGTTGCGTGCTTTTGTAAGTGTTCAAACTACTGTAAACCTTGATCTCTCTTCACACCACTCGCACCTCCATCTGCCCCAACCTGCCCGACCTCTGATTGGCTGTCCTTCCAGAGATCTTCCCTCTCACTATCATCGCTCCATCTCACTGACCAATCAGAGCCCTCGCACGGCCTTCTCCTCCCCTCTGCACCAATCACAGGCAGAATATTACCGTGGTGTATCCAGGAAGCCTCCTCTCACTCAAAGAGCAACTCCACACAGGTAAGACGCGCCGTATTCTTATCTTTTTGTTTTTGATCGTAACTACCTGTGTTTTACGTGAAGATGTTTTACCAAAGAGCCACATACACAAAACTCATCACAATTATCTGTTATTTAATCTGCCATGACATGGAAGCCTGTTCGTTATGCGACACTGTTTGGGTTATACATACATATAAATATGTTATACAATGTCACTGTAAGAATCCTGGACTTCTGATACAATTTCTGACAAGTGGCAGAAATTGTAGAGGAAAATACCTTTTAATATTTTACATTTTGACATTGATAGTGCAGTAGGAGAAGTGATGCCCCTGGTAAACATCGTCGTAGAGATGGCGAGTCACATTTGGTTATTTGATTAGAAGTACTTTTATATAAACATATTTCAATTTCAAGTCATAAAAGTTCTCCTAAGCAACTATTTCACTAAACGATTAGTTGCAATTTAACTTTTGACAGCCCTAGTTTATTGGAGATTATTGAATATGAAGTATAAATCAGTGTCCGTGTTATCCAACCTTTTTGAGCCGTTGCACTGAAACTGATATACGCAAATGACACACTTAACATTAACATTGAAAAGTCATTCTCATTCTCATCCAGTGTATCACACTGAAAATCAAACAAGCGTGAAATGTTTTCTATTCTTCTCACATTACAATAAAGTGATAAGAAAGTAATCAATTAGGTGATATTGAGTCATTTCCAAAGGCACATAACATACCACGGCACACTGGTCTATAGAGTGATCATTGTGACATGCCTACTACAGTCTTACCACTTCCACATTGAAACTTTTCCCTCTCCATTGTGTAACACTATCCTCTCTGTCCAGCGTCTGCCCAGGCCAAGCACCTTGCATCCAGCTCCATCATGGCGGTAAATGCTTCAGCTTTGAGCAGCGCCTACCTGGCTGTGGAGTATGTGGACTCCTTCCTGCCCCCCAACCCCCTGCAGCCCCCCCTCAAACAGGCTTGGGTCTACATGCTGGACAACTACACCAAGTTCCAGATCGCCACCTGGGGCTCTCTCATCGTCCACGAGTTCATCTACTTCCTCTTCTGCCTCCCCGGCTTCCTCTTCCAGTTCCTGCCGTTCATGCAGAAATACAAGATTCAACAGGTACATGTTTGATTTAATGGAAGCTAGAGCTGGGTTGTATAAGCAAGGTCCTCTAGGCTAGACAGGGCAAGGTTATTTGTATTGCTTAATTCATGCACGAGGCAACTCAAAGTGCTTAACAAACCAATATAAGAAACTGTACAATTAAGCAAGGCATAAATAATCACAGTGCTTTTATGAAAGAAAAGTCAAAAAATACAGGCCTCAAAGTATACCTGTATAGCAGAGCCGCTAACCATGTTGATGTATATGGGGCCTCTAACATTTTTTCTTCTTCTATGTATATCAGGGTCTCCAAATACACCTACTGGGGCCTAAACCCCATACAGGTGGTTGAAGTGGTAAAAGTCTCTATGTTTTACTTTAATCATTTTTAATACATTTTTTTACTTTATTTTTTAATGTGATTTTGCTTTGACCCCTTTTATGGGAATTCTTAAAACGGCACGTTATTTGTTCCCGCTGAACGACTTACATGCTGTCTTCATCTAATTAGAAAACCTTACATTTTGCATACTTGTATCTTAGCGCCTTGTGAGTCACTTTATGACTTTTTGGTCTGAGAGCGGGTGGTTCTGTCTTTTAACTCTATTGTGAAGGCAATGATAGATTCAATTACATTGTTCTATTTTTTTGTGGTTTGATATTCGGTTACTCAAGCTTTCATCCTGGGATATCCAAACTTATTCCATTGAGGGCCATTCTTTTAGATGTTCACTAAGTGGTCACAAATCGGTACAAAATGCTTTGAATTGTTTAAAATTACTACAGTAATCATGAGGGACCAGTGTACTTTATTAACTAGCATTTCTTTCATTTGATTTAACTGTGAAGTGTAAAATACATTGTTTTATTTGCTGATGTTATTTACTAAATTTAATAAAATAAAATGAAATAAATTATGACTGTTTTCTGGCAGGACAAACCAGAGACATGGGAGAAACAGTGGAGATGTTTCAAGATGCTGCTGTTCAACCATTTCTGCATTCAGCTTCCTTTGATCTGTGGAACGTACTTCTTTACCGAGTACTTCAACATTCCATATGACTGGGACTCCATGCCACGCTGGTAAACATAAAGACATTTGGTGCTCTGAGATTTGTAGTTTTACATGCTATTGCTACATCACTGGGATAAGATTTAATTGCCATCTGATTGGGCAAGAATGTGGATAATATTCTTTGGGAGATTGTGGTTTTCAGCATTGAATACAAAGGATTTTACCTTTCACTGGTAAATCACTTTTCAACCCTTTTGTTATTTTTAACAAATGTAAATAGAGCCTTTAGTTGGAGAACTACTAAAATCAGTTAGTAAATATGTAAGATAAATGTAAGGAAACCTTTGTAGGAAGCCAGGTCCCTGTATAGGAGGTGTCCTGGATTCTGCCTAAACTGTTAATTGTTGATCTAAAAAAATCACTACGACAATTACAACACACAATGTAAGTTTAAAGATGCAGTCAGTGATTTTTTTCCAGATGCATTTTTTAAAAAATGTGGGAAAATGTCCCTAAACCCTAAAAGTAGTCAAGTTATCATGTGTTTTCAAATAGTAATGTATTTGACCAGATGCCAATAGTCTAAAATGTATAAAGAATATTTTGGAGTGGCCCAATAAAAATAAACCAATGGGATTCCTTCCTCCCCAACAAACCAATAGGATGCGTTTACCCCAAGCCCCGGTGATCCAATGGCAACGTATTCAAATGAATGGTTTGTGCTCAGTGGCGCGTGTGCCGTCATGGTCGCTGACATATTAGCGGAACATGCCATATCACTCGCTATATTTGGGCATCGTCTGGTCCTCCCGGTTCTGTGCAGAGAATGATCTCCCATGATGCTTTGCGCCAAATACGCGTGTGTAGCTCTCATGCACGTGCACAGAGGGGCTCGGCCACGCTCTGAACTCACAACTGCTCATCAGAGCAGAGCTAGAGAGGGAGTTAGAGCGGGAGCCAGACGGGCAGAGTTTGTGGCAGTAAAGTGTGGATTTAAGAAGAAAAAAAGTTCAGGATGACAAGAGACACTAAAGTCCCCACAAAATCTGATCTTTATGAAAGCTTTAGGTGCCCCCCAGTAAATAGTTCCATTATGATTTAAAAAAAAAAATATCATTTCAATTATTATTTCTCTTTTTAAGTAATGAATACATGTAAATGTTGTATAATGCTCTCCCTCTAGGCCATACATTGTGGCCCAGTGCTTTGGCTGTGCAGTTGTGGAGGACACCTGGCATTATTTCCTCCACAGACTCCTGCACCACCGTCGGATCTATAAATACATCCACAAGGTCCACCATGAGTTCACTGTGAGTAGAACATGTGCTGCTGTTACATATTAACCAGGCTGGCTGTCTGATCACCCTCCTCCATGTTTCCCAGTCTCCCTTTGGCATGCAGGCTGAGTACGCCCACCCTTTGGAGACACTCATCCTGGGAGCCGGCTTCTTCATTGGCATCATGATCTTCTGCAACCACGTCTTCTTCCTGTGGGCCTGGGTGTCCTTCCGGCTGCTGGAGACCATAGATGTGCACAGGTAGGAGCACAGAAAACGAATTGGTTATTGCTAGTGTCATGTTTATAGGAGTAGCTTCAACATTAAAGGTGATCTCTGTAACTTCTACTGTAGTGTATTAAGAAAATAATGCATATTTCTGACCTGACTATTTTTCTGACTACATATATGTGACCTTGTATAGTATCGTCTATCATATTTTTCATTGTGTATATAATTAGAATACTGTAGTCCTTCCCCTTGGATTAAGAATCACTAAGATTTTCTGGAGGAGATTAGTTAGACCAATGGTGATGGGCCTCAGCTGTCTGCCAAGGATTTTAATTGATTGCGTCCAATCACGAACTTGTGTGTCATATATTTATTTTTGTTGTTGATCACTCTAGATGTTTATTTCAAAACCTGTACAACACAACTTTACAGAACACTGATTATTACCCTTAACAAATGCCAAATTTGAGATTATTTGGAACTATACAAAGCGATGCAGTAATCAGTAAAACAAGGCAATATCATTTGGTATAATAACAAGACACAATTTAAGTAGTTTAATTTTACTAAGATGTTAAAGAAGCCTAATTGTACTTTGGGCTGCCATTTAGTTATATCATGGTGAACATGGATCAGTATACGGTGGGTTGTAAAAGTGTGAATTCAACTTAAACTTGAAATAAACTAGTGCCTTGAGTTCAATTTGTGCCCATAACTACACAGCACATCACCAAAAGAATGCTAAGTTACCCACTTAAATGATGTTACACTCAACTGAAAGGCATTTAATTGCACCTCTAATGTAGTGCCTATGTTATACCACAAGATGGCCACAAAGACACTATATTCTAGCTAAACAGTACAGAAGCAGAAAATTGCAGTACAAAATCGTGACCACATTTGGGCAGACACTTTATTAATATGCTGACTTGGCTCTTTCTGCTCCTTTTTTATTATCTAGTTTTCATATATTGGCTGTGTGGCACTGTGGGGTGTTTTAGAATGCATCTCATAAAATAAGTCATCAAAAGTAGAACTGGCACTGCCTTCACCTCTTCCTTTAAGCCTTAAAACTCCTCTAGCTACACTGTAAAAAATAAAAAGTTAGTTCAACTCAAAATGTCAAGGCAACCGACTGCAAAGAATGTTTGAGTTGAAGGCATCAACTTATTTTTTTTTTACATTTTGAAGAACTACATTTATTAACTTGTGTCCGCTAAGTTTTCCAAGTTCTGCCAACTAAGTTTTTTAAATTCAAGTTACTGGAACTTTGAAGTCTGTGAAAAAAAAAATTAAATTCAGATTGATTTAACGTCCCCCCCACGTTAAATCATCTTGTTTCATCAGAATGTTTATTTATATAGCGCATTTTCAGACCAAGGTCACTTGGGTAGGGGAAACCGGAGCACCCGGAGGAAACCTATGCAGACATAGAAAACACGCAAATTTCTTTCCACAGAAAGGCCCTGTTTCAACCGGGATTCGAACTCGGGACCTTCTTTCCAAGAAGCGAGAGTGCTATCCACTCAGCCACCATGCCGCACACACTGGAAATCCGAATAGTGGGGAAAACTAATGTTTCTTAAGGAAACTCGTTCCCTCAATAAAGATTAGTTTTATAAATACCATAAACATAACAATATAAGTTCATTAAACACAGTCTTTATTAAAACTCATCAGCTCACAGACTAACTTACACATTGTTTGTACTAATCCGTTTTAGTTTAATAAATGCCATGAACATAACAATACAGGCTCATTCGACAGTCATATATTAGTCTGAAGGTCCTGAACTATAACTCTCAGATTGAGAAGTAATAATGCTTTCAACTCAATTAGAGCTTAGTTTCTGTCAAGTACTGCGTGCAAGCACAGTAACCTTTCATTAAAATTAGAACATTCTAATAAGATGACCCAGGGACTATATAGGGCTACTTTGGCTTGGCCCTGTCTATTACGGTTGGTAAAAATAAATATAATGATTTATTTGGTCAAGTTAGTTTATTCAAAATGTTGAATGCAACCGGTTGCCATGACAAATTTGAAATGAGCATGTGCAGATAAGTTGACCTCACTCTAACTCGGTGCACTGTAAAAACGACAACTCATAATTTCTGAGATTTTTTAATTCACTGGCAATAAAATTGCAAGTTGGAACTTCAACTGTCTGTTGTGAGCCACTTGAACTCACTTTCAGAAGTTACTGATGAAAAGTTCATCTTATTTGATAAATTAAGTTCATTTTACTTTGAAGTTGTAGTTGACATGTCAACTACAAGTTCAAAGTAAAATCAACTTAAGTGAGTATAAGTGGCTCACAACAGACAGTTCAAGTTCCAACTGGCAATTTTATTGTCAATGAATGCAAAAATCTTAGTAAGGTGAACAATTTTGAGTTGTTGTTTTTACAGTGCTCTTCACCATATTATTGTGAATCTGTCTTTTAGAATTTCTATGTTTTGTATTCAAGATGCACCGATGCAATACTGGCATCTGATACTAGTGCCAATATTGGACATTGTATCGGTTTGATGATATTGGTTCTGTCAATTTCTTGATGTATTGCATTTGTTTTGAAGTTAAAGTCTGTTTTCTGGCTCATTTTTACCCAGAATGTCATTTTTCTACTTACTTACTTTCTAAGACCGTATTTATTTTGTGACTTCCAGTATCAACAGCTTTTTATTAAATCACAATTGGACAGATTTGTAATAGGTTGGCTGAGATTTGAAGGAAAAGAAATGCTATTATGCAGTCCCAAATATTGAAGTATTGATCCGTGCCTAGTTTGTATAAATGAATTTGAAAATTGCCCAATAAAATGTGTGTTTTCAAAAAAATATAATTATTTTCATCATGATATAAATGTTTGATTTCTTGCAGTGGATACGACGTCCCACTCAACCCAATGCACTTGATTCCCTTCTATGCTGGGACCCGTTTCCATGACTTCCATCACATGAACTTTGTGGGAAACTACGCCTCTACCTTCACCTGGTGGGACAAGCTGCTCAACACTGATAGCCAATACAACAGATTCATGGACAAAAAGGACGGCAAGAAAGAACAATAAGATTCATTATGGATCATGACCAAGACCTCCCTCACCTATTGTGTCTTAAGCATGAGAGAAACTGTGATCTTGGCATTGATGAATAAATCTTCCGCCATTTTATATACTTTGTCGGACTCGCAATGTCTCTGCACTTTAGCGCTTCCGCTTTAAGGGAATTCAAAATATAATCATTTTGTTGTGATGTTTTCTGATAAAATGTCATAGAGTTCATTCAAGCACTTAAATATTCTGCCTCATTTTTGGCTATTACGATGATAATGAGACTTTTTGTCATTTCATGTTTTGAAAGTGAAATATCTTTGAGCTTTGAGATCGACGTTTGTACCAGAAGGTCAAGATATTGGCATGGATGAAGCTAAACCCATTAGGTCTGTTTGATGAGTAGCAATGTTATGACATGGACAAAAGCTCAAGTTGTTTATATGTTTCTTTAAAGCCTTTGTTTATTTTACACCTAATAAAACTTCTGATACATATGGGGTTTTGTAATGATGTAGCTCATTATAATCAGGTGGTTGTTTGAGTTATTGATTGCAGGATATGTCTCACTGTTGTGAAAAACAAATATTGGATCAGTGTTGACGGGAAGAGGTTTGTTGTTCTGTGTGGCTTCGGTGAAGATGAGGGACTTCGCCATCTCTGCACTGAGGACACACCCCTGCTGCTCCATCCTGCTCACGCTACTGTCCTCCATGTAAGCTGGCTCCAAACAGGAAGTCACTGTCTGAAGCTGGAAATTACCACTACGCACTAGATTTGCTTCTATACCATGAAATTACATGGAACATGATTGGGTTTATTGCTTATAAGATGAGACGTTATCCGAAATAGAAGTGGTGCTCTATTCATTCACGTTTTTGAAGATGGTCCTGTGTGTAATGGTCATTATTATAGAATGTATTTCACGTTACTGTGGAAGACTGTCCCGGATGTGCGCTCGTGCTAGTACCAAAGGCTGCGTGCGTAAAGAGCGTGAGCCCAGGTACGCTCATCCGAGGAGGAGGAGGAGGAGGGTATTAATAGCTTAAGCGGAGCTGCTGCAGTTATAGGCTTGTGCACAAGCTTCTTGCACATAGACAGCTGCAGGAGAGAACCAGGACGGGTCGAGATGAAGCAATTGTTATGGCTCGTTATTTTGGGGGCCGCGGCGGTCATGGTCCGCGGGGATGGAGAGATCTCCTTTGAGTATCACCGCTTCGAAGAGATGCGGAAAGCGCTGGTGGCCGTGTGGCTGCAGTGCCCCACCATCAGCCGCATCTACACCATCGGGGAGAGCTTTGAAGGCCGTGAGCTGCTGGTGCTGGAGATGTCGGACAACCCGGGCATACACGAGCCAGGTCAGTAATCACGCACCACCGACAATGCGGCACTTTCAAGCTCAATTTCACTCCTTTTGTGTCGGCTGTGGAAGCAAACAGCCTGCAGTTTATCCCGTTATCAAGTTATTTCGGCCGGCATCATATTTTATTCAGCCTGACTATTATCTTTTTTTTTATAGAATTCGATCATTTTGTTAAAGAAATATAAATTCCACAAAGAATCGTTAATTCATAGTAGCTATTCTGGGCCTATTATGCAAAAGATCAAATCGTTTTATGACATGCTTAAAGTAGATAGGATTATTTCCCTGGAGTACGAAAAGGGCTGGGCTGGACACCATATAGTGTTTTGTCCTCATTTAGTCCCGTGCGCATAACGCCAAGTCGCGGGGGGTCCTGCAGTCTCTTGCGCGCAGGTGTATGTATGTATGCATGTGCGTGCGTGCGTGCGTGCGTGCGTGTGTGTGTCCTGCATCTTTCCCACGCCGGAGATGGGAGATTGTGCCTGCCTCTCCATTTTATCCGCCATTTTACCGCTTGATAAGAATCTGGCTCTTCGTTGAGTCGTGACTTTTGAAGAAACAACGAGACGCCTGGCAATCGGTCTGCTTTGGTTGCTGCTCACATCACCTCAAAATCAAAACCAGATGAACAATTGAAAGGCTTTTACGCTCATCTCCAACGAAATAGCTGCACTGTGCTTGCATATTAAGTGAGCGGTACATCCTGACAGACTGCATCAGTTGCCCCTGAGCCTGTGTGTGTGTGTTTAAGTTAAATAATAGCCTGATGATAGCAGTGTGTAACATAGGGACGTGTGGGAGTAACATTAAGTAGATCTTATGCAGGACATGAGCCAGCCACAAACCCAAACGTAAATGGTTAAAAATTGGAACCATATTTGATCTCAGAGGAGTCCACAAATCAGGCCATGGTGGAATTAAAACCAGATAATAAGTTAATTCAGAGTCTGATGCAAATGGTAAAAGGGTTGTAGTGGATCTTTATGAAGATCAATGGATGCCAGATTGAATACAACATTGCTTTGTTGTACTGATTCTAGAATATACAGTAGGGCTACTTATAGGGGGATCTGACTTAGCCCACACAAAGAATGCAGACGTATTTGTTTGTTATTGTTTGAAATGAGGATCTAGGGGAAAAACATGAATTTTTTGACAAATTAACGCTCCAACTATAATAGTCTTGAAAATCCTGTAATACAGCCTATTACACACAAGAAATGGTTATATTTCAAGTCAAGTGTTCATTTATTTGACAAGAATTTGGAAGATAAATACGAACTATTTTATATAACTATTAGGAATATTGAAACAGAATTAAAGAGAATGTTAAAAGATTCAGGTGAATCCAGACATAAACAGGAAGTCTCCCATGGTTTTTCAACCAATCACAAAGTATCCACTGTCCTCTGTATGGCACCGGAAGGATAAGGATTAGTCTGGTACAGGCAGTCCAACATAGCCATAATGAATTCAGCAATAAGGCCAGTGACTTCATCAAAAGGCTGGATATTTATGTTGTTGATGTAACTATATAATCCAAATATGAAATATGATTATGTGGGTGCTGCTATATGGTGGGGATGTGAAAAAACCTATCAGTAACTTCAAGGATAAAACCAAGGAACTTAGGAAGCAGGTCAAAACAGAGACAAATGCATAACAAAAACTTTGATGCTTAGTAAAGCTAAGTCCATCCATCCCTTTTTTTCTCTCTACTCTATCCATTGCCGGTTTGCGGATGCAGAAGTCTAATAAGCAGCGACGCCCAGACTTCTCTATCCACACACACAACCTCCAGCTCACCCGTAGAAATCCTGAGACGATCCCGGGCCAGCTGAGAGATAAAGTCCCTCCAATGTATGGTATTTAGTTATGTATTTGAACAGTATTAATTCTGCTCAAAATGAATGGGTTGAAGCAAAAAGCACCCCCACCCCCCAAACTCAATACAATCAAACTTTTAATTTCACACAAAAGATAGTACAGAACAAGGACACAAAAGAAAAGTCACAGTCCTGTATGTAAGTTACCTTGCGTATGAAAATATGGATAAGCTTGAAGGGAATCCTCCGGGTGCTCTGGTTTCCCCCACCATCCTAAACTTGAATCATAAGCTCGAAAACATCCTCCAGCTCTGGTCCTGACCAAGCCAAGCACCAATCACTGAAGATGGGTCCCTGTTACTACAGCGACCAGAGCTCCTGACATGTTTGGTGGCATTGATCAAATGCAGAAAAACAAATTCCAATGTTTCTGCAAATGCCCCTCCATCCATCCATTTACTTCCCCTTAATCCATTTCTGGGTCAGTGGGGTGGCAGTCAGAGCTGCACCCAGTTCACAAAGCAGCCCTTCACAGCTGCTCCTCCTGCAGGTGGTGGGTCCTCAGGAGCCGTGATCTGCAAATAATTGTTTCTGCAAATGGCTAAATAAAATAAAAAATGTGTGAGCGTACATATGGTGCTGAGTTCACAGATCGTCCCACAAACTCGTCTCAATCCTTCCAACTTCTATCCAACACAAGTTCCAATCTCAATCAATCAAGTTATTGCGTAAACCTTCGTACAGACAAACAGACACACACATAGGCACGCACATACACAGAGGAGTTTACGAGATAAAAAGGTAAAACATAGTGGATTATTCTGAAAGACCAACATTACGTTCATTCAGTGTCATCCATAATTCAAAAGTGATGGTTGCAATGGTTCTTTGTGAAAATCAATGGAATAGATAGCTAGAATATAACCAACTGTGCATAATAATATATAACCAAAGATAGATAGATACTTTATTGATCTCCCTTAGGAAAAATTCAGGAACAACATATGGGTAGAAACAAGCAAAAGAAGTGCCTCTTTTTCAAGATCATGTGTGTGTCAGGACTGTGGAGATGTAAGCCGTGTCACAATAAGGTTTTGATACTTTCAGATCTATAAAAACATCCTAAAAGAGAACAGCTCTCCAATCAAGAAAGTCAGGACAGGAAAAGAATCCAACATAACTTTGGGCAAATAACAACATTCTAACTGGTCCACGTTGCCCCCACCCTCTCGTTCTGCCAATGTTTTCCACACGTACCATATGATCTAATGTTAGTGACCCAGTGAATGTCTCTATACTCCTACACTTTTACACATTGGCATCTCCCTGGGCTCGTACTGTAATGATCAAATGCATGTGCGCTCTAAATTAGGCCATAATAGTGCGGTGGGTGTGTGTGCGTGAGTCACGGTAGCCCTGCAGAGTTCTTATTACTACCAGATGATTTTCCAAACCCTCTGCTATGCACAAGTTTGAGCCCTCAAAACAAGGCCACTGCAGCACCCCAGCCCTGCTCCAGCCCCGCTCCAGCCCCACTCCAGCCCCGCTCCAGCCCCATCTCTGCTGGAATATAGTAGTAGTAGAACATCCAGAGAAACAAAGACTGGGCAACAAGGAGTGGGCCAAAGCAGGTGAACAGACGGTCATTGAGAAGAGTTTCAATGTCATTATGAAGTTAAATGTGTGATTAAGTATGTTTCCAATTTAAATATTTGTCTCTCCGACCAGTGGTTGCTGGCCTATGTTTATACCAAGGTAAACAGGTTTTATACAGACTTATTTAACAGGCTTTTCCTTCATTGAAATTCACACATTCCAAATTAGGCTTATTTTCCCAAAACCTTGAGGGACAAAATCCTGGCTCGCGTTATATGAATAAGTGTACACAAACATCCCTAAAAATCATGTTTTTTGGCATTTCCTAACCTTACTTGAAAGCAGGAAAATTATCGGATAAAATCCTTTAGATTAGAATTTAGTGTAATGGTGTTTTTGAAAATTGATTTATTGTGCTTTTTTGTTTTTATATACTGGGACTACATTTCTCACTTCTAGGAACCCAGAAGTGACTTCGTTGATCTTATCTTGTCGCAGAAGCTAAGTAGGGTGAGGCCTGGTTAGTACAGGAATGAGAGACCTGTTAGTTCTTGTGCCAGCACTGTCTTATGTCAGGGTGTCAAATGCTGAGTTAAAATTGAAGCTTATTTTTTCTACAATATTTAATGTTATTTAATTTACAATCTTAGCATTGACTCCAAAGTCCAATTAGGTTCAATTATGTTTATAGAAAATTCTGTCCTCTGCATTTGACCCATCCTTCAATGCCACTCGGGTCTTTATCAGGAGCAGTGGTTGTTGCAGTGTAATGCCTGGGGAACCATCTCCAGATGTTTGCGCTCGACTCGGTTATGAGTTGGAAGATTTTACTGTACCTACTGTACATGTTTTAGTGTTTGGGGAAACCGGAGCCTTAGCAATAGTTAACACACAATTGGCTCATCAGTCTAAAATACCTTTGGTCCAGTCAATGTAACGGACCTAATTATGTTCCGAAAATTCTGCCAGAAAATAATATCCAAAATGTTGTGAGTGAGTAGCTTAAGAAGCCGCTGGCACAGATTCGATGCTTTGCTGACATTAGTTTACCCCAGGGCAGCTGTGGCTAAAGAAGTGGAATACCACCACAGTGATGAGGTCAATAAGTAATAATATGTTGGGTACCTAAAACCAATGTCAATTAAATGCACAAGTATCATTATATTTTGAACCTTGGAAAGACCCAGCAATTCTTACTCCTCTAAAAAGAACACCATAAAAACTTCCACGAGAAACGCTTGATAGAAAAGGCTAAACTCCACAGATGGATTCCACTCACAACGATACGCCAGCTGTCAAAGATCAGTTATCGCTATTACTATCTCCTATTGCCTTGAGACACTGCCCTGAAGTCGGCTCTGACCCGGACATGATGGGCCTAAAGGTGGAGCTGAAATAGCGGTTGCTGTAGAAACAGATCGGCTTAGTGCACTGATCTGAGTGTGGCAAGCGCGTGCTGTGGTCTGTGACAAGATCCACCATCTGTTCTACGGTACAGACAATACACACTGTTATGTAGGAAAACTTGGCGTGCAGGATCCAAAATGGCTGTCACGTAGTCGGCGGTGATATG